TTAGATTGTGTTTTATTAGATTGTGTTAAGTTGTATTAGATTGTGTTTTATTAGATTGCGTTAAGTTGTATTAGATTGTTTTATTAGATTGTGTTAAGTTGTATTAGATTGTGTCAAGTTGTATTTGATTGTGGTTAATTAGATTGTGTTAAGTTGTATTTGCATGTGGCATTTAAATTAATTTATTAACCCCAGAGCTCATTTGCATTTCAGCAAGATTCCTGCTCATGTTCAAAATCTTCCGCACTGAGAAGTTGCAATATCGAGAAACAAAAATAGACTCATAATTTAATGAGAATAAAGTCATACTATTTCAAGACAAACAAGCAGTAATACAAATGGTAAGTTTATTTCTAATCATGATTACATTTGCAAATAATTGTTCTGACATCGGTGCGCGGTTGCCTGTCGTAGCATAGACATGTTTGGTATTTCTGATCAATTATATTGGCTAAATGTACTTTATCCAGTTGGATTTTGGGTTGAGCACAACATTTTCCATTTATCTTCTAAAAAGGTCCAACGGTATAGTCTTTATCATGCAGATATTTGTACCATTTGCAAAAATACACCATTGCCACTGACTCAGCGTCACAGTTTGCCTCCGACACCAACTCTCTGCTTTTACATTGGAGAACAATCATGCTGTATCTCTTGCGTCCCCATGTTGAGGCTGACAATTGTATATATGGACACCGTCTGTTGAGTATTGCCCGTCTTGACACCATTTGCAGAATGACAGCTGAGTGGGAGCATGCTCAGATGATGACATAGGAGACATCCAGAAATAGTCAATCACAGTCTGCTTGGCTCTGGAAATAGCCACAAATAGATGTAAGAGTGAAGGTCATTTTTCATCAATTTTCTTATTAGTTAAAACCCCAATATTTAGAACAGAGTAAAAACAATCAAACAATTCAAAAGGGGACATCAAGTTTCAGTAATGCTCGTTTGTCTTTGTATTCTTACAAGTGTATACATAAATAAAAAATCATTTTAATTAGTGAAAATTTGCTGAAGGGCAGCCTCACCCAGGCAGATTAATACAGCGTGTTAGATTATCAACAGAGGGGTTTAACCTAAATCTCTGGCAACACAGCTCCCTTCCTGCTCCATGGATGACATTTGAATACAGTACTGTCCTCCCTTGTGCCATAATTAACCCTTTGAGTGGATGTTTATGGTTGCCGTATTGAATCAGTTCAACAGCACCCTGAATTGTGTTTCCACACAACCACTGCCCGGTAGCCTATTCTTTCTGCAAAAGCTGTCTCCTCTGTGGTTTCGCCTGTAGATTGAAATAGATTAATCAGGGATTAGGTCATAAAATAGGAGGAGGGGGGATGTATCGAATTAGTGCATGGGTACCCTCTGTGCCACTGCCTTCATGTCAACATAAACTGACTAAGCAGTGTGTAGATGGATGGGGCAGTCAGGTGATTGGGAAAAGAGGGAAAGTCCTGGGGCATTTGGTGGATGGATGGACATTAAAGGAGCCTTGGGAATAGTGGAAATGTGGCTGAAGAGAGGGACATAGTGGCAGAATGAGCCGCAATATGCATGTGAGTGAAGCAGACATTGTGACACATATTTCCACTGGGGCCACGATCAACAAGTGAATAGGAAAATGTTACAAACATTAAAATATGTTGCAATCCGTCAATAGTATGACTTGTGCATGCACACTGGACATTGCAGTGTCATTGTTGATACTACCACCAGGGGATGCCAAACGCCTAAAGTTTTCATTTTTGTATACAGCTATTTATTGCAAGAATTGGTATTGAATGTATACAAAGGGAGGAAAAGCATAGACACAATTAAAGTCCCTGTCCACTCAAAAATGTGTTGAGCAAGTGTGTAATGTGGAAAACTTGAAACCTCCAGTTGCACACTGATCATTATTTTTTCAGTGAAGTAGGTGACATCTTATGTCTGGTGCTTTGACTTTTAAAAGGGACAATGTTTGCATATAAGTTATAATCCTATCCATTGTGCTGAATCTGGGTCTGTCCTGGGTCTTTCCCAACATTCACGCTGACGGGTGGGAATCCCACTGGCCTCACCTGCCAAGCACGCTATTTATAGGTTGTTGTCATAGATCCTTGTTGCTGAGTCTTATGTCTGTGTTGTGTTCTTTGCACTTGTGCCCTGTTAAGCAACTATCATATTCTGGATTTTTCAATGAAAGAAAGGGGGTAGATATCATTTTAAGATTTTTTTTTTTCACTGGTTCTACCTTAGTGACTGCTTGTTCCTGCTGTTTACTTACTTACTCGCTGATTACTTACTTACTCGCTGATTTACCCCAACCTCATTCGCATCGCTGACTTCACAAGTAGTTACTAATGCATGAAAGTGACTGTCCCTGTCTCTGTCCCTCTTCCTCTCTGTCTGTTAGGTGATGAGGGAGAAAACACTGAGAAAAGCCAGGGCTCTCCAGCTAAAGAAGAGGAGACTCAAGCTGAGGGCAGCTAAACTGACATGTGTGGACTCAAACAACCGCTTCTTTTTGTCTCTCTGATCCCACGAATGCTATAGGCCTTCAACGGGCCACTTGCATCTAATGGCTGAGAACAGACGCCTTCTGTATATTGGGGAAGCTGTTATACAGAAGATATAGTGTATAGGCTTATGTTGTTAGGGTCAAAAGTCAAACAGAAGATGTGAGAGAAGCATAGGAAATGAAATGCATCATTCAGTATTATTTTAATTACTGGCTACTGCATAACTTTAAAAACAAAGTTCAGGTTTTATCAGGGTTTAGGTCCGGCTGTCTGAAAACAATATTAACACCACAAGAGCTTCAATGAGACGATCTTTTGTAAAACATAATAACAGTTTCAATTGAATGGAATAGGCCTGTAATGACAATATCAATAACATTGTAGACTCATGTTGCTCCTATACTTTAGAATGGCAATAAAATAATAACACAGGGTTCCGTAGTCTGCACCAAGATGGCAACAACTTTACTCTTCAACACAAAACACTGTAGCACATTGTCCCTTTTCCTCTTCTTCAGTTATAGCCGACACAATAAAAGCCCCAGACACGTCCAGAACACTGCTTCCTAGAAAGCAGTTAAGGTAACTCAGAGCCTTCACTTAGCAACTCAACATAATAGTTTACAACATCACAGAGCCCTTTAACCACAGTATCTATCCAGTTATATATTAATAAACTGTGCAATCTGGAAGCAAATGTAATTAGGTCGTAGGTGTTTGTTGAGGCCAGGTCACCTATACATTGCAACACTTCATGTCATTAAATCACACTATACCTGCCTCAGTTATTCTTGAGCTATACATGTCATGTAAAAATGCCCAATTCTACTAGCATGTCACATACGATGTATGGAAAGAGTAGAACCTTATTTCAAAAATGTTATTCCAAATCTATTGGCAACCATCAGAATGACAGCAAGAAGTCAGTCTCACAATGACTATTTGAAGTTGTTGGCTTACTACACACAAAGTCACAAAATGTTCACATAGTAAATCAGAGAAATGGAAATCAAGGTAATTTGCATTGTAAAACTGAATGATAGACATTTAATACCCATGTGTATGTAAAGACGTAGAATAAAACCGATACAGTATTTTGAATTTATAAAACATGATTCTAAAATGTTGAAAATAAGGATGCATTATCTAGTAGAAGCACATAGTGGCTGCATCGGTGAGGCCTGGCGGTGGGCACAAACAGGGCTGGTTTATATTTGCAAGGTTACGGGGTCAGTGTGCAGGAGCACAACAAGAAACAAGGGGGCCAGCCAATGAAACAGAACAAAGCTGTTCTTTTGCTGCGTTGCTTTTGGCCTTGATCATGTTGACAGAGTGAAAGAGCAGACCAATATTGTCACTGACTAAACACTGTACGTCCTGTGTTTATCTTGATTTGGACGGACCCTGTCTGACCAATCAATTTAAGATTAATAGAGCCAGATTGCAGCGTTATTTACACGCATTTCTTTCCAATTGAATCAGTGGTTTCTGAGAAATCACACCTGATGTTCAGTTTAACTTTGAAAACACCGGAGTGCAATTCTAACATAGCGTCCGGCAAGTTCACCCAAAATTCAATAGATAGATATATGTAAATATATTGGCTGGGAGATCCATTGCCCAAAATAAACAAGAACATCATTTAGGGAGATTGGAAATAGTCAACCGTGAGAACTGATAGTGGGAGCACACGTATGCAGCAAGGAGAGCAGAGAAACAGTAGGTGTCCAATCACTGTCCTCGGTTCCCTGCAAGTGATTCAGCCACATCACTGCCGATGAGGGGAGGGAAGACAACATTCTAATTTAGTGGAAACACTAACGCCTGCCCCAAAAACCTTGAATGGCCTCTTTCCTCTTCCCTCCCTTTCCTCTCAGGACTATGACAGTCAAACTGGGATGGTTTTGGTATTCGAGGTCATGCTGTGTTCACCATGCATCGCATCTAATCTCACATCAGCAGCCATGAAGGAAAGGTAGCATGAAAAGGAGGCTTTTTAAGGAAATTGGAACACACCCAAGTTCAAAAGGGATGTCGGGAGGGTGGCAGTAGAGGATTGCATGAATTGAATATGGTGTATTGAGCAGCTATTTGCTCAGGGTATTTGATATTTGATATTTTGATTGTGACTGTGAGTCTGGAGTGTTGGTTGGGTTCATTATCATAATCTTATGTAAATGAAGAATGGGAGCACGTCTCAGAAATGTACATTTTTTTATTTTTTTATGAAAAGAATAAGCACAAATACAATGATCTCACAGCAGTACAATACAATAATGTGGACTACATACCAAATAGTGATATACATGCTTAAACAACATTTTGATCCACGCAAAAATCAAAAAAAAAAGAAATCTTTGTTTAAATAAACACACCAATAAAAATTTGTTTTGCAAATTTGTTTTAATACAATCTTATAATTTTACAGAGATGAGTTAACCAATTAAACCATGTACATCCTCAAAACACGCTATTCAGCAGATTGTTTTTGTCTGTTCCTGTGTGCCACACAGCACCGTTTTACATGTAAAGAACTGACTAATTTTCTTGTGGGATGAAAAGTCCATGCATATCCCTGTTGAGCGTTGCGTTCACGTATGCTCGGGCTACTTCTTTGAACGTTCTGCCGTCAAGAATCAGGAGGAAGCTAGACTGGCCTGTATTGGAGTTGATGACTGATGCTAGGACAACACCTGTGAATGGAGGGGAAGAGGTTATTGTTAGAGCGCAAAGCAGGATGTCAAAAATCGAAGGATTCACCTCAAATTACGACTGGTTTTACGATCTCAATACAGATGTAATCAGTGAGGGATCTTATCTTTATAGGGTGATCTTCCCATCCATTTGTTCTCTAGCTGTATATTAGCATGTACATGCCATACACCACACAGTATTCTCACCATCATCTTCTGACTCTCCATTTGGTTTGGGGATGAACACAGGCTCTGACGGCAGGCAGTTGTCTTCACTCCAGTAAACCCTTTCCTTGGTCTCTGTGTCTAACTTGGCAATCTAGAGCAAACAAATAGATTAGGAAAAAGAATTAATATTTGCTCACATTTTTAGATGGGTTGTGATCTGCAATTATTTACAGACATAGCAGAGGGCATCATGGCCACTTAATTATATATTATTGTATTATATTTTTAATTCTAAAAAGTTTGGGAGCTATGTTGAAAGGGAAATCTAATAAAGAAAACTACGGCATGTCAATGCTTTTTTGACATGCTGAGTTTTTTTTTAAGTTGTCAGTCATTTAAGAAATTGCCAAATATTCAGAGCGCTTATCTTACACAAGCAAAGCACCCGTGCAGTACTTTGCCCCAACTGCAAGCCATATACTTAAAAAAGAGCTGTAAAGTTTTAAAATAGACCTTGTTACTATCAGTAGGCAGAAGGAACTGGCTTCAACTCTTTTCCTAGTATTATCTGGGCTGGCCATAGTCAGAGTGACTAAATACAATCAAGAAATCAAATCATTTTCAATGCCCGTTCATCCTTTGAAGGTTCGTGGGCGGCCTGAGCCGATCCCTGATGACACGTAGTACACCCTGGAAAGGTCACCAGACAATCTCAGTTTAATGGATGAGCCTGACATATCGCATCGGTATAACGTTTTATAATTTTCCTTTTGCTCGTGTTGCTTTTTAATCCATATCACAAGCACCATTCAAAGAAATGCCAGAGCTCTCTTCTGTTGTTGGAATTCTGCATCAAGTGGGAATGAACAAAAATATTGAATTGTCTGAACAAGGAAGTTTCCTTTTGTTCCTTCCTCTTTGTTGTCACGATTCCTCCGGACTGTGGGTAATGCAGTGAGACACAAGGGAAGCTCTTTTCCACAGCGCTTTGTAACCCATGACTTTGAAGCTTTACAGAGTTGATCACGTCTTTCCATTGTTTCAGGTACCTTGATGTACAAGTGTGCCTAGGAGAAAGGATGTGTGGGTATTGCATCCAGAGCCAAGAAGTGGTTGGTCTTTGTTGGGGCAACCGCTAATTCTCACATCATCAAAGTGTTTCCTACCGTCTGTTGGGTCAACTGGTAATTGTCACTTCTGCACTGTGCTTCCTACCTTTGTATAAACAACGCTGCCAGGAAGAATCTCTTTCCCAATAGCCCCGTGTTTAAAAGCTGTTCTTCAAGAGTCTGCAAGTTTCGGTTCTCTCTTGGAAAATAAAACTTAAGAGACTGTAAAAAAAAATCGCAAAGACAGATGTTCCCACCGGTTCTGTTGCGCAATAGCCAAATTAAAAACAATAAGGAACGTTACCTCTTTTGCCAGAACGGACTCCTCCACACAGTTCCCGTAGACAAACCGATGCTTCTTGCAGTTGAAGTCATAATTCATTCGTGGTAATTCAAAACCTAATGGAAATAAAATGACAGTTTTTGTGTGTTGTATGAACAAATACATTTTCTTAAAGACCCATTGTAGGAAATACCACTTTAACAATAATGACTTGATTTGCTCTGAGTGTCTCTGGCATTGGTTTTTACCTGCACAGAAAACCTCTGCTTGGCACATCAGTTTGCCTTCTTTCTCCTTCACAGCACTGGCAGTCGTGTACTTGAGTTTCACCAAGTCCTCTCCAACTGCCACGCCCTGAAAAACACAGTTAAAGAAATTCAAAATGAAGTGTTAGAGGAACGTCTTCTCTCAATTTCAGGATGAAATCAACCCGAATTTTTGCTAAAAACCCCACCTTGTCTGACTGGATGGGAAGTGCAAATCGTTTGTAGCTCGGTCTGCAGTAGCCATCATTTTGGAACCCGGAGTTTTCCTTCAGCTTGCTCAGGTAGAACATTTCATAAAGGCTGTTGTCATTGTAGGCGATGACATCGAAGACCACGTGACCGTCGTCCTCAAAAGCATTCACGTGATGGTAGACGACCATTGGTCCAGTGTAGTACTTTGTCTCGACCACTTTGCCAGTCTTTCTGTCTATCAGGTGGATCAGAGTCTATTGAAGACAGACCGTGACAGTTATGTTAACCCAGGATTTTCTGTCCATAACGCTGGTAGACTAGTGCACACTTCATACTTAGTTCAGTAGTTTGAATATGAAGAGTGATATACAAGAGAATAAATGAAACACAGTGACCACTTACGTTTTCCTCAGGGCAGAACTTCATGCAGCTCGCCCAGTTGACTCCCCTCATGTACGCCGTGGCCATCTTGAGGATGTCCAGTTTGAGAGGCTGCTCGATGAAGATGAAGTAGTTGTCGGTAATGCCGAAGCTGTGGTAGTAGCTGGGTGTGAGCAGGGAGAGGCAGGGGACCGTACAGATCACCTCCACATTCTTCAGTGCGGGGGCATCCTGGTCTTTGTCTGAAGGTTTCAAGTAAAGAGCAAAAGTTAAAGAAAAAGACACTTCAAATTGTGTCAATGCATTGTTTTCATCTCATTGGCCTTGAAGTGATTGATGGAACACTTTGTCTGCAAATGTTTGCGAAAATAATGTAATTCTGAGAAGTGTTGGACCGCACTGCATTGAAATTCAGAGAAGGAGCCAATAGCAGCAGGCACATTTCACCTTGGCTGTACTTCATCTGATCCTCTCGTCCAATCAGACATTTGCATAATGGTGTGCTGTAGAGAGAAAGCACTGAGGTGTCAGTGCAACGCTGAGCGGGTTATGAGGATTACGTACCTTTCTCGGAAACAGCAGGGACTTTGAACAGTATGTATTTAGTCTTGGCCTTCTCTGCTATTGAAGTCCCGATGTTGTAGGTGTTGCCCTCTTTGTCATAGTGCGGATGGGACGAAACCAAGTTTACCGGCAGGTACTTTATGTAGTCCACCTGTGTGTTCAGCAACTCATGAGCTTCGAGATCAACACTTCACTTGGATGTGTGCTAATAGTGATCAGTGGTGAGTAAAGTCAGCGTATGACTGTACCTTGTCCAGAGTTTCCAGTGTCGCAGGATCAATCTTGCGGATGTAGTTGGTCTCCGAGGTGGCGTAGTAGTCCTTTCCGTATTTAATGAAATTGCTTGCGCCGTTGTCAGTGAAGTCAGGCACTGTGTGGTTGAGAAAGGTAATCGCCCTGAAAAGGAAGAAGAAATGCTATATATTGGAATGGGGGGTCATCCAACACAAAAAAAGACCAATTGTGCTCCGACTGAGGGGCCTGTAGAAATGTGACTCATTTGCATCTCAATGATAAATTCACAACATGAAGAGACACAGCAGGGGATTTCTCACAAGACTGATTATTTTCATGTTGCAGATGCACGCACACACACACACGCACACACACACACACACACACTTTGAGAGTGTATTGCAGATGTTACAATAGAAGTTTTAAAATGAATATAATGCACTGTTGCATAAAAATAAACAATGGAAACTCAAACTCAAAGCAAAAATATTTTGCAACTATATTATACGTTTTTAAAGATATAAAGTAAGGCTACAACAATGATGCATGAGAGGAATAACTAAAAGGTGACATGTGGTTTGAATAAAATAAGAGACTGCTTACTTAAAAATGAAATTCTTGCTTGGGTCTGGGTATGCCATTGTTCCCATTTCAGACACAACTATCCTGTTTGCAGTCATGTTGGCTTTGTAGGTGTCACTTCTGAGAAATTTGCTTCTGTAAGTCACTTCACCTGAAAGAAAAACGTGCAGGCATTTAGTGTCTCTTCACAGATTATGTGAATGATAGTACACGAAATGGTGATCAAAAGCTGTGCGATAAAAAAAAAAAAAAGACCAACCATCTTTAATGGCGAAGCTGGTCATGATGGCCATCCCATCGCACCAGTGGTCGTAGCTCGTGACTCCCACAGAAAAGATGCCGGGACCATTGCGCAGCAGGGTGCCTTGCAGCCAGCTGGGAATACTCCCTAAACGACAAGCAGCGCAGAAAACCACCAAACCGTCAGAGATGTAATAAAAGTCAGTGCATGTGCCGGTCAGTCAATAGTGTACAAACTCGACCTACCTTTTACTTCTGCCTTGCAGGACTCCGGGCTCTCCTCTGCGTTCTTGACATTGTTCGTAGTCATGTTTGCTGAAAGCGCAGTGCTTAACACGCGGAGGTGTCTGGATAAATACTGTGGCCAACAGCAGCGCAAACCACTCCTTTTAAAGCTCCTGTCTGTCTTGGGGGACTGGCAAAGCTGTGCGGTGACCTCCGTCCTCTGTCCTCTCTTTTATTGAAATGTTGCTGTAAAGATTTCTACGAAATATTGCAGCTGAAAGACATTCCTGCTTCACCTTTGGCTCGTCTCCAGATATTGTATAATCCGCAATCCACTTTTATTGATCCCCACCATGTGCATTTTTTATTAATTTATAGCTGAATGGGAGACTGATTTTGTGGACTCACAAGATGTTTTTTTAAACCCAAATTATCTTTATTCTCTTATGAAACAGAAAGTGTACCCACAGGGTGCTCTTAGTGTCAACTATAACATATTTCCTCATAAAATGTCAATGGAAACGTTCTGCTCTTATGCAGCTAGTCTTCTCAATTCCTGTCCTAGTAGTTTATAGAAAACGAAAGGTGAGGCTGCGAAGAAACAATAGTAAATCTGCAAACTTATCAAATTTAACATTCATTCCTCGTCAGCCTGTCCAAATAAATTGGGCAAATAAAGCTTTAATTAAACACATTAAACTTAGCTATATTAAATATCAGGTCTCTGTCAGGAAAAACATTTTTAATCAATGATTTTATTTTTAGGCACAAACTGGACTTTTTGTTTTTAACTGAAACTTAGATAACAGTGCCGCTGTTCTTATTGAATCAAAACCTCACAACTTCAGTTTCATGAGTGAAACAAGAGCATACAAGAAAGGAGGTGGAGTTGCTATTTTATCTAATGATCCTCTTCAATGCAAGCAGATGTCTTTTGGTTATTTTACTTCTTTTGAATATGTGGCTCTCAATTCCACTCAAGCTTTATTCCTAAATATGTACAGACCACCTAAATACTGTGCAACCTTCTTTGATGAGTTTACTGAACTGCTGTCTATAATCTGTATTGATTTTGACTGTGTTGTTATTGTTGGTGATTTTAATATGTTGATAATCCCCAGGACAGAGGGTCTATAGAACTATGCGGTGTCCTTGATAACTATGATCTGACTCAGCATGTGGCAGGACCCACCCACAACAGGGGTCACTCTCTGGACCTAATTATCACCAAAGGTGATGTCAGCTGTGACTGATGTTGCACTCTCTGATAATTTTTGTGTTTTCTTTGAGAGTGCAAATGTCCAAACTGAGGGTGTGACAAAGCGTCACATCTCTGAAAACACCAGTGAACTGTTTATTCAGAGGTTCCCCTCCACACCAGCCCTCTCTTGCTGAGCGCAGGTGGCGGAAAACAAATCTAGGTGTAGTTATGGATTCAGACCTCAACCTGAACAGACCAAGAAAGTGGATCACATCACTCCAGTTCTGAGGTATTTGCACTGGCTTCCTGTCCAACAAAGAATTTACTTTAAAATCCTGCTGTTGGTTTATAAAGCACTGAATGGTTTAGGGCCAAAATTCATTTCTGATCTGCTGCTACCTTATGAACCATCCCGACCCCTGAGATCGTCTGGGACCGGTCTACTTTCTGTTCCCAGAGTCAGAACTAAACATGGAGAAGCAGCGTTCAGTTTTTCTGCTCCACACATCTGGAACAAAGTCCCAGAAAGCTGCAGGTCTGCTGAGACCCTCAGCTCCTTTAAATCAAGACTGAAGACTTTTCTGTTTGCTGCTGCCTTTAAGTGAACCAGATTCAAGGATCAATTTCCTGCATTTCTGCATTTTCCTACTGTATTTTATTTCTTAAACTGCACTGCAACTTTTATTCTATTTTTTAGCTTTTTAATGTTTCAATCAATGTTCTTAATTGTTTTTAAATCTCCTTTTCTTTTGCCTTATGTTTTGAAGCTTTTAATGGTTTTATGAAGCACTTTGAATTGCCTTGTTGTTGAAATGTGCTATACAAATAAACTTGCCTTGCCTTTAAGAAGGTCCTTTCAGGTTATCCGCTATGGTTAGTTAATAATAATGCTTTACGGACTCACTGGAAAGGGTGTGGACCTTTGGTTTATATCTATCACTCCACAGGTAATTTCATTCTATGGCATTATTTTTCTTGGAAGGATGTGTACTGACTCCCAGATAGTGAAAGTCACAGTTAACTCCATCGGCTGGAGGGCTATGCAGGGTTATCCAGTACTTGATAATACCTGGAATGACATGCAGTTTATGATGGCAAACCAAGAACTGAAAGAGTAATAATAATAAATCATATCGGTACGTTAAAGTCCACATGCACATCACCTCCAAGGCAAATAGACGAATATCTTGTCTGTTTCACAGAATAACCAGCTGATGAGATTCTGTACCTAGCCCTGTTGTTAGGAACGATAATTAAGTGTGTTATCATAAAGTATAATTGGGAGGTTAAAAAAAAGACCTTTACTTATATTTTAAAGTTCAACCTTCAAACAGTAAAATAAGGTTTGGTGTTTGTGTGTATTCGAATGTTCGCTTGCGGAAGACGTTACTCACAGGTAGATATGAGCGCCTTGAGGATGTAAATGTGGTTCAACCAGAAACAACAAGTTCAATATTGGGGATTAAAGCAGAGCTAAAAAAAATAGTTTGAACTTTTTTTTTTTTTAAAGTTAAGAAATTGATATATGTGATATAAAATTATAGCATCATATAATACAACTCGTCAGTTTTGTTACATCTGACATATACAATCTTAACTTCTAAAAACAGTCTTCAACTTTATGGAAATGATGACGCCGTTAGCGTTGAGCAATGCTCCTTTTGCACATGCAGGAGCTACACAAAGGTGAAAGGTCAAGAGTGTGGCGGTGGCGGCATTATATACAGTCTATGATTGAGAGAAAAATGGGACGGGGCTGGTCAAAGGGGGTTCAATTACAGTAGAGAAACAATATTAAAATAAAAAGAACAAATCATTCCTTTCCTCTTTTGGACTGAACAAGTTCATAGTTTCAGAAGTTAACTACACGAAATTGGCAAAAAAGTAATTTAACTACTTGAATCATTGTGAATAGTTGAACTGCCAGAAAACGACTGCAAAATGTAGTTAAAGTACTAGTTTAACTAAAAGGCAGGCACGGTGGCCCAGCTATGTAAAGAAATCGCAGAGAAACTCGGATTACAACACAGACAGACGAACAGTAACTTCATTCTCAGGTAGACATTGCTCCACTATATCTTGACATAGCAAATAGTTGTTTGCTGCTCTATTAATGCTGTGAATGTCGAATAAACTCTAGAGAACCAATAATATATGATACAATTGTCATTAAATAGTATTCAAGTATCATGAATGCAACAATGTGATTTAAACAAATATACTTTGTTGCAAGCTAATAAACAGATTAGGAGCTTTAAGCAGAGATAAGAACTAGGCGCACTTAAGGTCTTATGGTTTGTTAGTGTACAAAACAACAAAAACAAGTTATGTATCTCATGACAATGCATTATAGACATTCACACATTAGTGATATGTGTCCTCAAAGACACTGAGGTTGCATCCAACTTCAGTGTCTATTTTTATTTGATTGGTTGTGATACTAGTGAATACTTTTTAACAGGTAAATAGCATCTTCACATGCTTGTAACGCTTGTAATCGCTGGTGTTTTGTCAATACACACCTCCTATTGTCATTTAGGCAAATGTGGTCACTCAGTTTCGAGGGAAGGTCATTCTATTGTTAAACACGAGCAAAGCTGAGAGGCAGAAGAGTCAAATTATACCACAACACTGCTAGACAGCACAAGTCTGTCACAAGAGTGGCTGCTTTGTAATATAACCACAATGGCCTTGCAAATGTTCTGCATGGAAGAGACTTAAGGAAAACAATAGAGGGAGAGAAGTGATACCTTTCTCCCTCTCAGTCGGAAGTTTAAGTGAACAGCAGACGAAGAGACACATTTGGATGGCACATTGATAGTACGGTGACTTTGTTTTATCCTTTTCATTGATGATGACTAGAAAAAACAACAGCCCCGCTGCAGGATACAGTGGCTGCAGATATCGCAGGGGGAGGCCAGAGAATTGAATTACATGGCAACACTGTCCTCTAGTGGCCCGTGTAAGACATTACCTGCTAAGGTCACGTATCACTGACCACTGGTGTCACTGGTGATTGTTACAATATTAAAACATGTTCTTGTTGATGATGTATATTGGTTTATTTTGACAAAAAATAAAATAAATGTTTTTCAGAACTTTGAACGCCTATGATGGGATGTGCCACTAATTAGGCTTTTACGTTAACAAGCCGCGACATGAAATCCATATCTGAGACATCAGACGCTCATTGATTGTGTTTTAAGCTGCCAAAGATGTTAGAACCCGAATGACACACACATCACATCCGTTAATTTGGTATTTATTGTAAAGAACAAATGAAAATGTAAATGACAAATATATTTTCTCTCCTCGCATACATTCATAGAATGCCACTTAACACTCCCACCTACTCACATCTCTCCCCATACAACATTCAGAACAGAAACACCAACACCAGCAGCACCATGCTCCGTATTATAGCATCTGCATTGTTTTTATGTCTACTTCTCTGGGATTCATAAATTAAAGACAATGGTACGCATACAATGCAAGATGCTCATAGGATTCAGGTTTATTTGCACTTCCCAGATTGTTATAGACGGTCCTGATTAGTATTCAAGTATTCCCTCAAGTATTCTGTGCTGGATATTATACTAAATATCTGCTTTATGACGTTTTCAACGCATCATCATCATCATCATCATCATCATCATCATCATCATCTGTGGATTACATTATGTGGCACAGTACAAGAATAATGTTTCAGTAAACATTATGTACATGTACAAAGAAAAAAAAGAGAACAAAAGGTTGTCTTGCAAATGTATATGCTATTTTGTTTACAGTGCAATCCCCATGCAATACAACATGCAGTTATAGAAGGTGCATGAAGAAGATGACCATACTGGCCATGCATGACCTGGCCTGGTTTCCATTTAACTCCAGTGAAATATGAACACATCCCGACTCTTTCCCCAAGATGTGAGACAGTGATGATCCACTCGAGTCCATCCTGTTCTAAACACACTGCCTGTACTCGAATGGCGTAAATGGACAAGAAGTGTTTCACACCGTTCCACCACGCCAAACGGCACCGAGCCTCATCCTCCTGTGACTAATAACAGCGCGCAGAGACGGGTACGTGCAGAGAATTGGTTGGCACTGTATTAAAAATGGTCATGGATGTGAAAAAAAACAAAAAAAACAAAAGCACTAAAACAACCAGCCTTAACAAATCTCTTGGTTTAACATTTGAAACAAAAGGCCAAACAATCACATTAGACAGCATTAGACGTGGAACACACTATTTTTTCTTTTTTTTTTGGGGATGTAATAAAGTATTCAGTGTGCAATCATGCGTTGTTTTAAAAAGGCAACAAAATCAAATGCTGAACATAGCAAGGCGTATTTTCAAAACTAGCAATCCCCCGTTTCTGTTTGACAAAACATTTTGAAGATAGCTTTTGATGTACAGCTACAGATACATTAAAGATACATTTACAATGAAAATTCAAGTACATGTTCCGTAAATCATCGATGAATTGCAACTTTTAAATAAAAACAAAGGATAGGCCTACAGTTGTCTTAAAACCCGATGAGGAGATTTGTTCCTGTGTTCAGTGTTGTATGATGATTGACAGCTTTGACAGTAGAATGATAACGTGAATCTTTCAGTTTCCATACATTCCTGTCCACCGGGGGGGGGGGGGGGGAAAGCACACAATCCTTGTATCAAACTGATGAATAAATATGGAAGTGCATATTATGTTTTAACAGCGGATTGGAAATCATGTGCAACATGAGGCAGACGCTTTATCCATCACAATGTTCTAAAACTGCAAAATACTTTTTTGACACGCCCAGAACCATTACCCTCTGAAACACTGATTATTGTCCTTGATTTGACATCAAACTTAAAATCTGCAAAAAAAAACTAATTTAGTCAAATGAATGTGTTGAACTCGTGTCCTGAGTTCAATTTGCTGGCTAAAATGTCCAATTCCTTGACGGTAAACACACACAGCAGCATGCAGCTTGTTGGCAAATGTTGCCCGGGGGGGGGGGGGGGGTAAATTTGAACAGCTTGTGCCTAAAAAGATATCAAAAATAGGCAGTGTGAATGTTATATAAACTTAAGGTCAACACCTGTTGCTAAAGGAGTGTCAGATTTCCCACTAAGCCTCTTAGCAAACAGAAGTCCTTCAAAGCAGCCGCTCTTTGTCTGTACTCTGTGTTTATCATTCTGTCTAAGACACTGATTCCGAATCAGCACTCCAGGACAGTTTCACCCTTTAGCATGCACCGCACAATGCGACACAAATGACAGCTCCCACAAAACCGTGTCAATAACTAATCTTTGTTAACAAAATGTCATTTTCTTTTCTTTTTTTTTTTTTTTTTACAGTGTGGAATTTCAGGTTGTATTAAGAAATATTATTAAGGACAACGAATGTTCTCGCATTGCTTCACGTCAGCGTACAAACACAGCATTGACATTCGGTTTCCCTTTTAGCATTTCTAGAGTATTCTGTACACCAGTTTCCTTTTCATTAAAAACAACATCTTCAACTGTTTGTATGGTTGAAAACTAATTTGCCTCGACCCCAGCAAGACAAAACAAATAGACAACATACAGTGTACCGGGGCCCTTTCAACCCTACATTGTATAAATTACACCATTCAAATGCAACCAAGACTCACGATGTCAGATTGCGGTGGTTGAGTTATTAACTGTGTAATCCTGGGATTGAAAATAACAATACTTTGAGAAAAAAAAATAAAAAATATATATATATATTTTGTTGAGCACAAAGTATGTAAAGAACGGTCAACTTTTTGACATTTTGTGGTTGGGCTAAGAGTCCCAGGACTCTTTTGTGTAATGGTAAATTGTTCAAGAGAACAATAATTGGCCGTGCACACGGTATTGCTGACAGTTCATGTCATGGCTTCGGGATGGCCAGTTCAATGGTCCATCTCAAGTGACTCAATTTCCCTCTTTACATTCGGTCCTGTGATATCACTCTTCCCAGGTGCGACAGGTAAGTGTCCGAGCTGCTGCTCCCCCGATGCGCTGAGAGTGACGTTGTGTCTCTGCTGTGGCTTTCTCACCACTGACACCCAGTGTCCTTTATTCCGTCTTCCCATTCTCCTGAGGCATGCTGGCTTTGCTCTGGCGTGCCGAACGCAGCACCTTGTAGCAGCCGCGGGCAATCTTGTGCATCCACATAATGTTCATGATGTCCAAGCAGATACTGGAGCAGATCCAGGCTACACGGCCACCCCAGGGCACCAGGTAGAAAGCGTCAGTGCCATAGACCCCATACATACGAATGTAGTAGACTGGCATGACGGCGATGCGGACCACGAAAAAGACTACTGCCATGGCAACGCCATTCACCATGTTGGGCCGGGAGGACTTGGGATAACCTAGTACCTCATAGAACCAGCTGAAACACAACACATGGTTAAGAAAAAAGTGTCTGGCAGGATATGTAAATGTTGAAGACAATCACAAGTAACTTGACACTTTACATAAAGAGTTAGGGGCCTGTTGTCTAAAGTATCTTCGGATTTCAATTGATCTAATCCGACCACAAAGAGACCAACCAAGAAGCAATGGATTACCTTCATGTCATTTAAATTCTTAACAATTAACACAAGTTCTGAAATTTAATCTCCAGAAAATGTAAATTGAGCTCCAAACCTGAATTTTAAGACCCAAAGCCCAGGTCGTTAGTAAACAGGTACCTACCGCTGGTTCACACAGGGTGTAGAAAACTCAGCAAGCAGACGGAAGTTAGCAAAATAAGGCAACATTCCTTCGCCCTGGAAGAACAAGGTAAGAACAGGAAGACAACGACACATGAAAGGGACAAAAACAAGACGAGTCATTTGAATTCAGCAGGCATGAAGCTGATGTACCGCCTGCTCCTCAGAGTAACTCGGTAATTAAGGTACGCTTCCAATCGTCAGACACAACCATATGATATTTCAAGACATATTTTTTTTGGTGTGGGGAACTCAAGATTAAAATTAGATGACGTCCTCCTAAATATAGACCTATTTGGCAGATCTAAGAAAAGAGCCTTCTCCTTCAGGGCACACAATTAGTCACCAGCTAAAATTAGACTGGTCTTTAATTTGACTTTCCTAATGATTCATTCCCCTCATGTATTGTGAGCAGAAACTAGTCCATACTATAAAAGGAGCAAAATAACAGATTAACTGTAATGCATTGTGGTCCAAGTCAGTTGTTCACACTAAGGGCTTGTTGACACAGTTGTCTTTAAATGAAAAGGGTTCATTCCCGAGGGAGCATGAATGTGCCGACCACATTCAATCAATTTGTTTGAGTATCAGATATCTTTGGAATGATGTTGACATTTTTTGCTTGAGAGTGGCAAAAAATTTGCTTGAGTTACTCAAAAATAGACATGGTTCATCCTCTTAGGAGTATGAACAATTGAAGGATTCATTCTATGGAGACCAAGAATACTCAGCGAATTCAATGGAAATTGAGCTTTTTCCGAGATATGTAAAAATAATATTGAAAAAAATCACAACAAATCACCCTCACGGAAACTTAAATATTACAGGGAAAATCCAACACATTGTATGTTGATGTCCAATCACTGTTGATTGTAAATGTCATTGAAGCAATTATTTCCAATTACTTGCATTGTCCGTGAGCTTCTGATGCCTAGAGGGTCCCTGTCAGAACATAATCCTCTTCCACAGCTAATGCTACCAGAACCTCTGCTGCAGTTCTCCAGGCACATACTCTGGGTAAACACAACTGTATATCCGAGTCAGCCAAAAACACTGTAAAATGTATCCACGTCCATAACGTGCCCTGCATTCATGTTTTGGGTTGCCATTTTTTCACTGTTGGAAATGTAGCTAGTTTGCAATACAAGCGAAGAAAACAAGGCAGTTCTGCTTTTGAGCGACAAAAGCGGAGAACAGAAATCCAGGCTGAAATAGCCGGTAGGTCTTCCTTTCCACTAACGGCGCCACTGTCGCGTCAAATGATGCCACTGAATGCAGAAGATAAAACACATTTTGCAACTGCAAACTCAAGTTTTCTCAGTCGATATAGCGCACACTGAGGAATGCGTTGCTTCAATCGAATACATGTACCATCGACACTAATTTGCACATCCACATGAAGTGGTGGTGAATTTTCCCTTTAAAGTCAAATTCAATGAAAACATAGGAACTCAAAGAGAACACTAGAGACATATTTACCAACCACCATTGGGCCTGTTTTTAGAGAGACAATAAATTGCTTTGCCTGAAAAAGCAAAATGTCAACATGCAATATTTAATGTCTTAAAACATACTGGGAAGACCACAATGCACTGCAGTTCATCTGAGGAACATCTCGACATTAAGAGGGTTTTCCAGCAAATATCAACACAGCACAGGCTTTGATACATATGATGTACAACCACACATACATTCAGCCAGCCACTATTTTAAAAAAGGAGCAACCAGAAGCCATGCAGAGTAAAAAAGCGATACGTTTAACTGCCAAACATGTCGTTGTTTAGAAGGTCAGGGCCTGAATTCCATGCTGTATGAGATCATCTTCAGCAGGTTTGAACCTGAACTCGAAATTGGATTATGAAGCTAACCACGGTTGCAATATTACAAAGGCACCAACTACAAACCGTGGTTTCTGACCTGGACAGAAGCCCGCTATGAAGCCCTTGAGTGATCCTACCATGAGAGAAGCTTAAAATCGATTGATTTCTGTTCCAATTGAACAATCTTCCGCTGCTGCTAAATAGAATGAAGATGATCTTACAACCGAGATGCTTTCAGGACTCCCCATCTTGAATAGTGTTGATTAAAATGGTGCCATTAGCCAGATATATTTGTGTACCGACTGAAAGACTGAATTATACTGCTGTGATCTACATCTTAACTGCAATTAAAATAGTTGGGATTTTGAATTTTTTGTGTCTAACTCCTGACCGTAAAAATTCAGCACATAAGTCAGACTCAAAATGAAGAGACAAATCACAGCATTCAATTTCACCGGAAGACCCACCAGGAACTTTAGGGTTATTTGGCTAGTGGCCAGGCTTTAACTGCATTTACAAGTAGACTTACCGTCAGGGCTGAAATAAAAGCTGGACATTAAAACATACTTACTATGTGACACAAACAGGGTAATCTGCATTGCAGTTTTTGTACCGTATGAGTTGAACCTTCCACCTAGCATGAGGAATACTAGTACCTCTAGGAACTGGTAAGTCCATACTGTGACTGGGCATCATATCTGCTCAGTGCAACACAACAGCAATATAGCAGACAAGACAGGAAAAGGACCAAGACCTGACCTGCTCTGGGTTTCTAAATGACACACAACCTTTTTGGTAGTTTTTTGCATGAACGGGGACGACACAGTCCGACTTGATGTTGGCAGTTTTTGCATGTAGGGTTTGAAGAGGGGCTATTTATGTTAAAGTCAGCGGAGGACGCAGAGAGAGAAAGACAGACAGATATTTTTAGAAGAAAAAAGAAAAAAGAAAAAGATGCAACCACAATGGGAAGCAAGTAAGAAGCAACATTTACAACACCGAGAAGAAAGCATGCATCTCATAGTTACGCAGCAGTTAATACATTATATTTCTGGTTAGGCTATGCTTGACTGTTAAAACACATATACAGATTATGCTATCGAAAAAAAATCAATTAGTGAACGATTAATCAATAATCAAAACATACCAACAAGCTTACGACATTAAGCTGATATGAAGTTTGCTTTCAATCTAAGTAAATTGAATTAGGCCTTAATTTGGCTGTGTGCCGCAGGGTTTAATATTCATATTTTGAGTTGGTAGAATTTATCGTGTATTTGACAAGAAAACGTCCACATAAAAACACCCAGCCCTTTAACTAATGAGACTTTGACAACATACGACACATTTGACTAAATACAAAACTAAATAAAATGAAAATGACATTAAGGGGTTTAATTTATTGGGGTTTTACCGCAAATTGAATATGGCTACAGTAATGTGGCTCACAATATGTTTTCTACCACCATTGACTAACGCGGAGCATTCATTCTGTTATCCCACATGAATTTCAAGATCCAGTCTAAGGAAACAGCCATGAGTGTCCAGTAACAGTATGGCCTACTTCGCTTCAGTCATCTAATTTATACATTGCTCCGTTTCTCCAAATGAAAGGCTGGATTTACAGTCTGTTATGAATCAGATATTTATTCCAACGATGTAACACTGTTTTAATGTAATTATTGTTTTGACGCAGGAAGGTGGAAGAGTGATATTCCTCATTATCAATGCAATGAAGACAGACACTAATATGATATATGTGTCACATTAAAGAAGAAAATCAAATCTGTAAATCCACCCAGCGACTTGAGTGTAGTTAGGGGTAGAATGTAAATCTTGACTGCGAGGTTTACACCAAACATGTGGTTGAAACCAAACGTCCATAGTGTTTTACTGCTTTTTAGCAACATAAAAAAAGGTTAAATCCAAGAATAGTTAAAGTATGGGGACTCAGGCAGAGCAATGCACACTTAGTGTCCTTTTGCATTCTCCTCAAAATACAGAGCACGTATTCAAGGGGAACACACCGAGTTGCTTAACTAAAATAAACTGGGTATAAAAGGAAACTTTTAATAGCATTAACAACAGTAATTCTGTAAGCTCAGAGTACACCTGATAGAATACATTCAGCATGATATGGCTATCTGGTGATGCGCTATCATCTCGGGGTCATGTGGATGACGTTATTTGAGTGGCTTTGTCAGTTTTTCCCTCATCGGGGGGGAAATCTCAGGAGGAGTGTAAGGAAGAGAAAGAAGAGGCAGAACTGGCACAACAACAGACAGGCGGGCAGGTAATGTAGATAGGCAGGGAAGTAATTAAGAAAGTTATATACTGTTTGCTATAGCATGCACAGTGACAAGAGAAGGAACCCCGCCTGTGTAGAATGCTTCAGAGCTGCAAGCATGCACACGGTGGTTACAGTTTAGCATATAGCTAAGCTTGACTTGCGCCGGATTCATACAACATTTAAAGGGGGGTCAGTAAAACAAACAGAAAGCACAGAAATTGTAAGGGCAAGGTGAGGGGGGAGGGGTCATCAGCCAGTACCATCATTGAGCATTCCATGCAAAAAATACCATAGTCATTCATTTCCATAATATTTATCAACAGATCCTGGCGACCTAGAGGGTTTCAGATCGAACCAAGAGTGAACAGCACTGCCCGTAAATGCTGAGTACACTAAACCGTCTCCATATCTGGATTAGAGCCAACTGCACACCATAACCATGTACCTCAGAGGACTTGTGACATCATCATCATCAGGTCAATTACCTGTCAATAACCACGGCTGATTTCGTAATAATGATAGAGAGCGACACCATCATGTATTTTTGACAAGATTGCTTTTTACAGTGCAGCTTTAACGATCGCTAAACCGGAGTGAAATGTCAAACTAACCCTGAAACCTACAGTCATGTTATTCCTGCAATCCTCACATCATTTAAACTTGCCGTTTCTGGGCGGGTTAAAGAATACAACCGCTCAGCACTTGCACAAAACTGTGCAGGGAAACAGTTCTGGAGAGACTGTAACTCACTGACTAGTGCATTACTGAAGCACTTTATTACACTTCCACTGGGAGAGATGAAGCCAATGAGGTGGACTTCGAACATCCGTATGGATTCCTTATCTGATGTGACTGTACAGTTTAGGGTACGTCACTTGTCGCACTTACTGTACTTGCCTTGTGCATATTCAACCAAACTATATGAGCTGCATGGAGACAGTCGGGGACACTTGCTGAATGGTGGCTAAGTTAGGTAAAAGGCCCAGCTTGACAGGACACAGCTGTTCACCCTTTGGTTGTCTCCTTCCCATCTTGCCTGCACGTTCTGCTATTGGACAATAGGGCACTCACCAGTACATAGTAGTAAGCATACAACGCTGCCAGATGGTGAACTACAAAAAATTTGTCGCCTATCGCCTTCCAATAGTAAAATATCAGCAGCAGATCTGGAACACAGAAGCACAGGGGAGAGAGAGAGAGATAACATGTCATGGGTGAAATCAAAACATTTGAAGTACATACAACTGAACAAGACCACACTGAAAAATTGTCTATTTTATTTCTGACCCGCAGCTGACACACACTCTAGGGCCAAAACTCAAGTGAGTTCTCCAAGCATGAAGTTATCACATCTTATTATAAATTACGTGCATGTTCTTCTGGTCTCATTTTCACAACCATTACCTGGGTAAACTGTACGTTTCTCTTACCAGATATGAGGTAGCCTGTTGTGATGCCAACATTAGTCTTCACCAATGTAGGGTCTCCCCTATTGAACAAAAACACATTTGGTTTTACAGGGAGTCTCCGTATGCACACTGCCATTCAAAGGTTTAGAATCCCCGGCCACAAAAGTTTGATTGGTTATTTGTCAGAAGGCTAGAAGTGCTTTTAGGATGTAGAAAGTCGTCTTTACAAATAGATGTTATTTTGTATGAAGGGTTTCCTGAAAAAGTTATGTTTTGTACATGGAGATCTAAACGCTGTGCAATGATCTAACCATACTGACAATTAAATAAGAGTAGGGGTGGGCGGTGTACCGGTTTCATCCTCGTCACCATCGTCACGTTCGGCCACAACATGGATTTAAAAATACCGTCTCTTCGCGGTTTTAGCATACACACAGGGACGAGGGAGATGCAACACCCGATGAATACGCCTGTTCCCCTTCATCGATTCAAACATAACAATAAAAATAGAAGTTAGCAATAGTCAGCTGAACATACTGTGGACTTGCAAAGCACAGATTAAACCTATTCAACCGAACCAATGAGTGGACTGCAGAGAGCCCAAAGGAAAACGACTCTCCAAAATATCTCGGGCACAATTGTGGTTCAATAATGATCGAAGGTCACTATTCTTTTTTTTTTTTTATTATTAAAATATTCTTTTTTTGAGGCCAAAATGATTTCAAGTATAAATAATACATTTGGTTTCTGTATTATACCGTTTCTAGCTCTGTTAAAACAGCTAATATTGATGGAAAGAAGAAAAGCATCAATATAACCGGTGAATCCATACTTTTGAAATGCAGTGTAGGTGTTTCAAATGTCTCGACTTTGAAGTATCAAAAAAGAAATCGAGTTACACGGCACCTGAATGAGGAAACAACTTCCAAACTTGCAGGGGATTTTCCATTTCCATCAATCAGAGGTGGATATCATCACTAAGCCCTACCCCCTTGGTGAATGTCGCTATGCCTGTCGAGCTTTCCATGCTAGTACAGCACATAACAGTTCACATTAAGGGTGGAAGATTTACGGCTGGGAATTCCTGGTTATCTTTGAAACAATGGGTGTTTGATTTCACACACAAGCAGGTTTCTCATTTCCAGATTTGATCAGCTCTAGCCAGCACTAACTCCTTGAGCTGGCTGAAAACACCGTCTCCTGTTGACTTTATGACGATTCCAGAAAACGCGTTTTAAAAACGACAACCATATAAAAAGATCTTAAACATGAACTTGACCACTATATGTATGATATATTGCTAAGAGACTAAAGCTAAAGCGCAGGATAGCTCTTCAGCTCTAGAGTCGTAGTTCAGTTGGCGAACTAGAAATGTAATAAAATTGTTATTTCAAACATAACACATTTACATTTGGGCTTTCGTGTTCATATTTCTAAACAATACGGCTGGACTTTACAATAGAACAAACACGGGGTTTGAGAAATGTAACTATCTTTGGTGATGGGCTTGGCTCCAGGTCTTGGAGTGCTAATGTTATCCTCAACTCTGATACAGGCGAGTCTTGGCTCCATCACATAAGCTCTCAAAGCACACATAATAATGAAGTTAGCTATATGCTAACATTACCTCTTGATCTGTTGGAAAAAACTCACACAGCACACGACTAAAAGACAAAAAAAAAAAAAAAAAACTATGGAAAGTAAAAGGTTAAAAACATGCAATTCGCAGCCGAACTCTCACCAGACTGGGTCTTCATTGACAGCATCATCAAAGAACAAGATGTAGAGACAGAAGATTCCCACCAATAGTGCGTGAAACGTTGACACCGTCCTGAAATGAAAAGCAAAACACACACACACGTGATGATTTTCTCCTGTCTGACAGGAGCAGTACTGACACACGTCAGAGATTGTGTGCTCAATAAGCTTGCCAAAGGAATACTCAGTATCTATCTCAATTCATGCGGCTCGTGTGGTTTTAGACTACAGTGAATCAACTGATTGCCTGTCACGGCTGCACACAGATTCCGACCAATTAAGACTAAGAGATTAAACACTGCTGAAGGGTCAGGAGGAGCGGCACACAGTCCCAGTCAGTCACTGAGGGAGTGAGACACAATGACAGCCACACTGCATATAAGACTGTTTCAACAGAATCTGTAAAGTCACGCGGGCCTCAGAAAAGGCTCCCCACAGCCCGGGTCCAGCTCCACTAATCCTTCACTTTCATTTGCTCATAAACCATGTGACCATTTCAATTTCACAAGTGCTCTCGTTAGCAATAAACTTAATATGAGAGACAAAAAAAACAAAAACGAGTGATTCATGCACGTTGGAGTCGGACCAGGCTGGATCCTTTCAAACGCTCTTCGCCCGCTGGACATCTTTCAATCTACAGTACGGCTTTCACTGTACTCATAGCGCTCAAAGGTCACAGCCTGTCCGTCTGTCTCACTCAAGACACAAAACACTCCATCTTTTTGCTCCGGTCTATTTGTTCTAACCAGTATCTGCAATGTTCCCACAACAAGTTAGCAGAAAAAACATCAATACCACAACAGATGACACTTTTTGTTCATATCAAATTGTTCATCAGTCTGAACACTGTGTCCTTGAAGCATTCCTACTTGTCCGTCCATTTTGACTGACAAACTGTGAGGATAAAAAGGTATATTATTGCTTCAGTAAAATACCACGCCCATGCTGTTCTTTTTTTTTTTTTTTTTGCGGGGAGTTGACGATCATTTTTGCTTTACGGAGGAGCTGCTTGATCTTAGGAGAATGGGACAAGCTGTGTGGAGTTATAACAGATAGGGCTCCAGCTATGAAAGGCGAGCGCAAGAGAGCGGAGGTGAGGCTGTTAAAATGCACTGCATCATCCAGCAAGAATCCCTCTGTGCCAAGACAGTCCAGCTGGGCGATGTGACGAACACGGTTGTGAACACTCAACGTAATTCGAGCACGAGGGCACAACTACGCAACTTCAATGTTGCGCACTTCCCCACGCAGTCCGAAGTCAAATGTGCTTTTCCGAAGGCCAACCTTTCTGCTAAATAAGGGGAATGTCCGTGATAACGTCTCTCATGACAGAACTCAGTCAGCTCTTTCAGTATTTTTCTCTCATTGAGAAAGACATCGAGCCGTTCTCAACTCCCTTCTTCTTGAATGATGAGTTATATCCGACCTCTACTGAGAGCGGTGTTGCGCTCTCTGCTGCATGCCACACGTAAATATTCGGACCCATCGTGACCATAATTATGTGTCGCGTCACCTTGAGTTCCATTCCACCTTCTGCTTGTCACTGAGGCCGAGGAAGCTGGGGCTGATGCGCGTGGACGTCCACGGGCTGACTTTGTGGAAGAGCCACTGGAAGGTGAAGAAACTGGTCACCGAGATGGTGAGAATAAGCTGGTTGAATGGATCCATGGCCACCCAACCTGACTGTGGGAGGATGGAGGGAAAGAAGGTAAAAGGTTAGAAATGCTCAGTTGTGTCATCACTATGTTGTGAAACCTTAAAACTTAACCAGAAAAAGGTGGATTAGACATCACTGGAAACGGGGGGGGGGGGGGGGGGGGGGGTGTTCTTTTTTTTTGACAATAACAGGTCATCAACTCTGATCCATCAGCTTCTTTACATATTTAAAGCCTCGACCAAAAAACTGGCTGAAACAAACGTATTAAGATCCTTGTGGTTTCAGCGCACACATAGCTTCTAAAACCACACACACACACACACACACCTCCCTTCCCAGGAAGCTGTGCAACAAAAATGGGCATGCTCATCTACTGCATCTACTACCCAGTAAAATTCCAAATAACTGAATTCTTTGAACCCGCCCTGGACTTCGCTTTGTTTGCTTTTAATACACACACACCCAAGTACCAGTGACAGGTATATGTGCAACGCAGCTGCATGCAGAGTTTACCTAAATAGCCCTACTCCCGTTATATCGGTCCATGAGATTTAACAATGCACATTATGGCTGGACTGATTTCAACAAAATGAAGTGTCAGAGCAAATACTACGATACCAATATAACTTTCGATATGCAACATTAAAGAGACATATCGGCACAGCTCTACTTTTTCTATTTTAGGGGGTTAATGGGAGGCTGGTTTCTCAGCTTTGCCGTTAGAGCATCGGAAATGGAAACAGGTCAGCCGTGTGTTGGAAAATGTGAGTGGAGCATGGGCACATGGTATAAAGGGAGATCAGCATGGGATGGTTCAATAAAATCCATTTCATATTGATAGATACTTCAATTCAAAATCTAGGCCTCGAAGTAGCGTGATGTGTAGTAGAACGAACGCCACGTACAAATCTATTTCATCCTATCTATATATGGAACAAAGTAAATGTATGTCAGTGACTGAGGTCCAGACCACTGAACTGTTTCATAAGTGTTGCCTGGGGGGCCATTTGCATACAGACTGATTTGACTGTTGCCAGCTCTTGGCGAGACGCCAAGTCAGTAAACTTTACAGACATATTTACGTCTCCCAATAAAAGCAACAGAGCGTCTCCCAGCACAGTCGCACTGATCAGCACACATCTCCGTCCCTGGAGCTCTGGCCTTGGTGACTATATACCTCGCCTTTTGTTCCTGCATTACGCCTTAAGAAATGCTCGAGGACAAAAACGGTGTACCTCACTGGCTCACTTTAGCCAAGAAAAAGTCACCAGTGACCTGAGCTGCCAATTCCACAGAGCCCACTCCTTTAGCATGGAATGTGTGGACCTTTAACGTATGGACCTTCACAAGTATGGACCTTGAAAAGGTCCACAGTGTGATTTTAACTGAGGGGATAAATAGATATATCGGATTGTTTTGTGTACACAAATGTTTGAGTTCTGCGCGTTCCCATGTGGGTTGCCATGGGCAAATGGTTACAAAGGTCAACTTGAATACAGGAAAAATAAAATAGCTGAAGCATCATGGTGAACAGAGCACCACTACAAACGAAAGAAACCTGACTTAACATTTGGGTATATTTGTCGAGTGCGTTTCATAAGCGAAGACTTACACATTTGAAATCCCTGACAATAAACTGTGATTTAGGTGAGGTTGCAATGAGCTGATGACACGCTAGGTTGTTTTTTTTTTATTATTGCCCGTGATTCAATAAACCAGTGATGATAAATAAACAAAAAGGGGGGAGGGGCAGAAACTATAACCTCCAATCAGGACTCATGCAACGCATCACAACAGACAATTATTTTGAAAAACACCCAACATTATTCCGTTTGCCCTCAGAGCACACCGTTAGTCATTAAGGCACAGAGCAGACGTGCTTTTCTGAAAATGTGTTGTGTACTATAACACGGCGGAGGTTATGACTTTAGAGGATTCACCTTCAAACTGAGAAGAGTTATTGTCAACCATTACGATGGAGCAGGGCATGTTTGGGGACGGTAGACCTACAAACTGACGTCCTTATTTTCACTTTAGAGTTCCCCAACAGGTTTTGCTTGAAAGGTTGTTTTGGCACGCTCCATATATGTCCTTAAAGATCCACGTAAGGTGAATATGCGCTTGCGTACGACGGGGTGGACTCTTTTTTTTTTTTTTTTTAAAGAGGAAACTATATCCCCCACGAAAATAACTTCGCTTTGTGCATCACGTTGCATTTCGGAGATGCTTGAGCAAAACGCACGATCAAGTACCCACGGTGGTATTCTGGTTCTCTTAAAGCGACGGATATTATGGCACGCTACGCCGCATTGGCCGGACCAGCTGCTGTTGCTGGGAAATGTGTTGAAGGGAAGAAAAAACAACAACAACACCGGCCCCGGTCGTGTGTCTTGCGTACCAACAACAGATAATGTGCAAAATATGAGACGGGCCTACCTTATGACGTTCATTAAGATGATCTGCAGCCGCTCTCTCTCAACTGGTTATGGTGTCCAGGGTCGTTTGCGAAACCGTGTATGTTGAGTCAAAGCAACAGCCATGTCGAGTCAGATTTCTTGGATAAACAACACGAGCCCGGCTCCCGCTCCGCGCACACGCTAACGACGACTCGTGGGGGACGCGGCGGGGCCGGAGCTCCGTGTCTGCGGCAGCTTCGCGGTGTTTACCGAGAAGCCCATCCAACACGAAACGTGCATAATTGCAGAGGTGCAGCTCGACGCTCGATTACAGGGACGATGGAAGGTGTTTGTGTGTAAGAGGCAGCCCTCTCTCTCTCTCTCTCTCTCCCTCTCTCTCTCCCCCCCCTATAGGGCTCGAACTACAGCTAAAATTCTTAAAGACACACTCCCGTGCACACTGACATAGCGGTCCGCTCAGGAACACACTCACTGTGTCTATTTATAGCCAAGGCTTGTTGAACTGATCCGGGGTCCATCAGCGAACTGCAGGCATGGCGCACCGGTCCTGGTATCCGGGGCCCTTCACTGACGCCGCTCAGTCTTTTTGCATTCCTCTTGTTTTGTTATATTTGTCTGTCACATGGCCTAACGAGTGACCCAGATGGCTACTGTGTGAGAATTGATGAGACAGAATCAGAGTTTCAACTCCCAGTGTCTTCCCCTGTCCCTTCTCAGATGTCAGCCGCAGAGCAGAGTGCACCCATAGCCTATACACATTGCCAGAGGGCAGGTGACATATTGAATGACCAGTGGCAGCCATTTAAAATATCTATAAATCAAATGAGCAAGGCCGGGGTATTTACAGCATGGAGATATGCCTTGATCGCTGTACAAGAAGCGCCAGCTATTACCTTCATATCTGTGTCCTCAACCTCCCTGCTGCTGGAAAACATTAACTCTTGACATCCAAGCGAACACGAGGAGATAATGCTTCAAGTTAAACAGTGACAGTAAGCATCTGCTGGGCTTCGTGTAAAGACGGCACACATAGTATTGGTTTGTTTGTAACATGCAGGTCTGTCAGGTCTTTCAGCTGTGATGAGCACATTTCAGGGTCAAACACGGGCTCAATATCAATTGTGAGTCATTGCCAAGGGCAATGCCCTCGCCGTTGAGGTGGAATTCTAATCAATATCCCAAAATGGCTGCTTTCTGAGAATGAATTTCTGAAGCTGTGTTTCAGTCAGGCAAGAACTGGATGAACTGGATTGGATGAACTACTCACAGTAAAGGACCACGCCCTGACCTTTGGAGGAATCAAAGGCTAACACACAGTTCAGCATGCCAGAGAATGGTGCCGTCTATTGATCTGAAGCATCATCTCAGAGACTTTCCCAGGACATCCTGATCAACTCGGTGGTTGATGTGGACAATGTGTTGAGCTTCCTCTCGTCTTTACTAGGCCAATTTGTCCAATCTGAAACTACAGGGCCAGTTCCGGTAAACATTTGAATTAAATTGCATTGTGGTCTATAGGGTGGACATTTGAATTGGGTCGCTTACACATGGACGAGAAGCTTGCGATCGTGACAATCTTGGTTGATAAATAGCACTACAGCTGAGTGGAAAAATATGCATTTTTGATTCGGGGTGAACTGCCCCTTTAAAATGCAACACGCACCTCACATGGAGGTTTGTGGTTCGACCATGCAAGGTGCCACCTGCCCATCAGGATTCTAACTAACCATTCATAGGAGGATGGAAGGACGACTCTGCTCCACCACTGAGCCACAGTCGCCCCAGTTGTCAAAGCCATATTTTCATCCCTGCAAAAAAGTGTCCTTGTAGTTTATTTCGGGGACACACTGGGCATAACTTCTTAAAAATCATTAAAAAAGGTAAAATATATAATTTTTATTATTCATATGGAAATAAAAAAAATTAAGAAACATGCATTGGTATAAATACAGTAGGATCAACATACAAATTACTTGTACAAAAAACCCAAAAAGCAGCTCATGGAAGCTTCCACTGTAACAGTTCCTCTAGTTGGTGGAGAACAACCATGTGCTTGTCATGTGAAAACATATTTGATCGTATTGTACTGAACAAAGAGAAGTCAAAGCAAAGTAACCACATATACATTAAACCACATGAACATGTACTTTGGTCGATAAACAAAAAGCTATGCCAAGAGGCAAGATGATAAATGCATCCATCAGTGGACTGAGTCATTCAGACGGAGTATGGAGTATGCTGTGAAATGTAAAAGCAGCTTTGGTGATCAATGTGGAATAGTCACTTTAACTAAAACCATTGAATTAGTGGTAATAAAAGCAAAGCAATGAAAGCTAGTGGACCATAGCAGCACGATGATCAGTCAGTTTGGGTGACTAAACGCCTCGTAAGTGTGTGTACCATGGATTCTTTCTTCCCGACCACCTACGTGCTTCCACATCGGTATATTTTCCTCACCGGAGACAGTTCGACGTTGTATATATAGATACATGTAGCTTTTAAAAATATAGATAATACGCATGTCAAAAATACTGTCGCATAAAAAAAAGCCACAAACTTTTTTGAGAAGTTCTGAGTTGATAATGGATCAAGTCCTCACTATCGTCATCCAACTACAACCTAGAAGCAAAATGTACAATTACCACAATGTTGTGCCTCAATAACAGTCATTATTCTTCATGCTCATTTAACCAACTCCTTACATCAGAAAACAACAAGCTTGATCCTCACCATGTTTCCATAGAGCTTCATTGCTGAGCCTGTGGTGACACTATTCTAAACCCCGGCACAGCAATCCATTCAAAAAACAAAAGACTGACAATCACCATTGAGTGCATAGTTACATTCCAATTGAAATATTTGATGTGATGGTGCGGCTTGGATTATTAGTGTTATACACCATGTAAGTAATAGCACCGTGGCGCTACATTAGAAGCTGGCAGTAAATAGATGTGCACGCAAAACAGGCACTTCTAAGCACACGCGTGTGTATAAATTCACATAATGGTCATGTGATGCACACAGTTAAGACCTGAGAATGCCACAGTAAAGATGCATGAAATTAGATGGAAAAACGTTGAAAATTTAAATACATTTCCTCAACTTTTACTAAATGAATAATGCATTATTTATTCTGTACACAGAAAAATTGTTTAAAATGATCAGAACACACTTCAAACCCATCTCAAAATAGATTACAAGCTCTTCCGTGACGTGTTCAAATTGTTCAGGCTTTGTATGGCACTCAGCGTTTCCTAACACAACTACTGTTATGTATTCCTAGTTGATGTTGATAATGACATACCATAGAGCTCAAACTGGCTGACTCAGCATCACTGTATCCAATAGTATCTCCACATTAAAAATCTTTTTGTAAAAAGCTTCATCTAGCTAAAAAGGGAGCTGCTGAGTCACAGTCTGCTCTTCTCTGAAGAAAAAGGGTTGTAAAAAGCTCATATCAAATATATATTCAACGTATATGTCCTTTACACTTAGGCGACACCTTGAGGTACACCTGAACTCACTCCAAGGCACATCGGTGCACCAGAGCACGTTTTAGATCTCTTGAAGCTTAGAACGTATCTGGGATTGCATAAGAATTGTTCAAATTATTATCTTGTATCTGCCCACAATTTCACATGAATGCTCCAGATATTATTACAAACTCTGCCCATCTTGCAAATGAGGCGGATAAAACGCAGCAAAAATGATCTTGAGTAACTCGGGGGCTGCTGTCTCTACACAACAGAAACCGTGTTCACTCTTCAACAAAGATGAGAATAACGTCCATCCGAAAATTAAAACAGGGAATAGAAAACTTAGTCACAGCCCATTGGCCTGTCCCGCTCCTTCACTACACCATGAACTGGGTGTAACCCTCAGCGCCGGTGACGATCACATCCATCCAGATCCTCATGGCCTCCGGAGAGGGAGCCACCATGTAGTAGACTCTGTCATGAGTCTTCACACTGAAGGTCAGGGAGGGATTTGGGCTCTGAAGGGGAGGAGGCAACGAGAACAGTGGGAGGGAAAATGAGACAGGGAATGATGAATGGTGAGTGGGAGACAGGAAGAGGGAGACAGAATTTTACACGTGAATTAGAAGATACTAAATCACACTTTTCAGGACGGAAGTAATTTGCATGCATCGCTTTTGTAGCAAAAATATCTACACATACCTTATGTGCATTCTTCAAGTGGTCGTAATACACTTCTTCAATAGCTTGGAAGTAGATGACTCCTTTAAGCTTGGCTTCATGCTTGTCTGCAGAAGACAAAATGTGTGTAAATGTCTATTTTTCAAATGCATGTAAAATATAGGAAATACAAACTGTTAAATGCATTTAAATATATCTGTAAAATACCTGTGTGTGCATGTGTGTGTGTGTGGGCCTCTATCCATGTGGATGCTCTGTACACATTTGCATTTTCATGTGGTAGTCTGTGTGTGTGCACCTTGTGACCTACAGTACCTGAGTAGTAGGAGAGCGTGCGTCGGTTGCGGTCAAAGACGAACCAGCGCTTCTTCCAGGTTTTGATTTTGCCTCCCATTTTGATCAAGTAGCCCCGGCACGTCTTTTCAGAGATGGATAAGTGGAAGCATGTGTCGGTGCTGTGGCCCGCCGACTCAATGTGAGCTCGCAGGTCAAAGTCGTCCTTTCGCACCGGCAGGTACCGTGTTAGCGGCCGGGACTGGAGAGAAAAAGAGTGAGCGGGGTTCATTGGAAAAGGAGAGGGAATTAGTGTATTTGGAGCTGCTTTTGTGTTTAGATGTAATTCATATGAATCATGCAGATGTAAATCATATGTTAGATGGATTAAATATTCTTTCTTCTGCTGCCACAGTTCATGGTCCAGGCGAAAGAAAAAAAAAAAAAAAGATGATGGATGAGGCTTATGCTAAGAACTGTCAGCAAGTTCAAAGGGAGCGTTTGGGTAAAATTACAGCCTGACAAATCTTTTTTTGCATGCTGTGCCAAAGAATAATCACATGTTAAGTAACATTTTCCAATGACAAATGAACACAAATCTTTTAGGCAGCGGTTTCGTTTCTCTTCCGTACCTGTGCCCTCTGTTTTTCTCTCAGTTTCACCTCCCGGTCGATGAGTTTCTGGCGTCTGCTGGTCTCCTCCTGTAGTCGTTTCTCCAGGTCCTCCCGTCTTTTCCTCTCCTCATCCAGCGCCTGCTTTCGCACTTCCATCTCTTGCTCCTGAGGAACAATGGAAATTGTTCACAGAATAAATGTCAAATGATGTCATTTCTGAAGAATTGTCAAGTGAACGTACTGCCACTGTGTCTTTATGTTTGGGGATTTATCACAAAGCCAAATAAAGGGACAACATCTGTGCTTATATACACATGGCCTGTCTCTACCAATAAGAAAACAGAAAAACAAAGGATGGTTTTGTCTCATAGTGACCTTGTATTCTATTAGGCGGCTCTTCTCTGCCTGGGCTTCTCTCAGCAGACGCTCCATCTCCTCTAGCTTAGCCATATTTGAAGTACTGGCACTGCAGCAAACAAGCACATACAGCAAACATCAGAAATACTTGTTTTCATCACAAACAGTCAAGGAGAACTGTGAGCACAGGCTGCTCAAAAGGCCGTGTTCTTTCCCCTGCTGTGCCATCCTCACCCTTTACCAACAAAGTTATGATCAATGAGAAACATTTCTAGATTTGTTATGCATGCTGATAAACAGAATTAGAATTGGGGCCAGCTTCCTATCTGGCCCTTCAAACATGTTGTCGCATGAGCCAGCTAGAAATCAACGTGGCCAACTAGTGTACAAAACTATTGTTGCGTCTTTTAACTTTTCACCGTCCTGCTTGGTAAGGACACCTAAACTGTAGATCTAAGAATAAACTCCCTAGGAGTGTGTCAGTGGCATGCAAAATAGTTGGGAAACCCCAAAAGGGGGATGACGAAGGATGAGGAAGAATCTCCTGGCAGAGTCCACCCTCTCTACAGCCAGTTTGAGCTCTGGAAAGCACTATAGAGCGGCTGTACTCAATCACTGGGCCGGGGCCCAATGGTGGGCCTCAGAGCTCCATCTAGTGGGCTGCAGAGGAACTGCAATATGGTTAGATTGAATTAAATTTGAAACGAAAAAGCGATGTGGGAGACAATCCTGCGTCAGTAAATAATAATAATGTTGAGGAAATAAGACATGTGCATACATTACATTATCATTCATGATGACAGGCAGTGATGAAAGTGGCATAACACACATTTACAGCTCAGTTTATTGGTTTCACCTTTTTTGTCATGTTGTGTGTTTACTCTCGTTTATTTGGGAAGGTGGTCCTCAGTACTTTTTTAACAATCAGAAGTCTGCCCTAAGTTACAAAAAGGTGTCAATCTTTAAAGTATAAAATGCAAAAATAATCCAAGGCACAGTGTAGGGTTTGTGCAAATAAAATGCCTGATGAAGACCTGTGTCGGTAGCAACGTGTTGCTCATTTGAAATACTTTTTTTTTTTTTTTTTTAAAGAGACTTGGATTTTATATTCACAAGATGAATTAAGCACAGTACAACTGAAGGATCCAAAGAGCACCTGTATGTGATTACCCCAAAGACCCGGCAGCAATTTCTACTGTATTTTCTTCACATATTTTCTTTTCTATTCTGACTCCATTCAGACTTTTCCATGTGTTGTTTCAGGGGTTACATTTACTGAGATTTTTTCTGAAAATGAGGCTCAACTCTTCTGAGAATACTCCTGATTATTTACTGAATCAAAGTGGAAATCCATTAAGAAAGGAAGCCTGGATGTGAAAGCAATCTAAGGATCAGACCATCTCTTTTCCCCCTCTCAGTGTCTCTAGAAGACGTTCTGACTCTCTGCTGTGTCACTGTCTTCAGTTTAGAGCATGTTAAACTGTATTTTCCCCTCTTTCTCTACCTTGATGCAAACACACACACACACACACTTTCTCTATTATCCGGGGCCAGAATGAAAATGGATACCCAGTGTTGATCTGTGATGATGTCACAACATTGTTAAGATGAATGGTACACATTAGACTCAGTCCAAACAAATCAGGAAGGAATGGTGGGTTAGAGAGAGAGCGAGAGCGAGAGAGAGAGAGAGAGAGAGAGAGAGAGAGAGGTAGGGTACCCCAAGTAACCCAAAAGAGAGAAAAAAAAATGATTTGGAGGGAGGGTATGAAAAAATTAAGAAAAAATAAGAGAAAGCGGGGAAAAAGAAAATGCTTTCCCGCTCGCATGTACTTTTTTTTCATAATCGGCTGCCAGTTTTGTATAAAATATAATATTTTGCCATCATTTTAATTTTGGATGTGAATACAAAAAACATTTAGGTACAGATGAACATTGAAATGCCATCCAACATACAAACATACAAGACTCAAACTAATCTTCCAGTGTTTATCCCGTTTCCCTGTACTCACATAAACATTAATCCGACCTCACTGTAACATCCATCCTTTCCTCTCTTCCTCCCATCCCATGCCATTTTCTTACCTCAATCGATGAGAGCTAATCACACTCATAGTCATCATACACCAGCCCAGTTCTATCTATTCAAGTATTTGGATTACTTGAGAAGAACTTTATTTCTCTTGCTCCGACAGTTGTATCTCCAGAAAACGGAACACATCACTGACAGAACGTTCTCTCATAAAACTATTTTTTTGTCCAACACTGATCCAGGTTTCAACACGCGTCTTCCAATCCAACTGGAACCATACTGAGGATCACAGAGGCAGCCTGTCCCAGGAAAACTTGTAGAGAGGTCAATCTGCAAATGGTTTGGGGCTGTGCAAATTGTGTCTTCAGAAACAAGACCATACCATTCAGAGGAACAAGAGGAGGGGAGACAAAAGACAGATGCGACCGCTGTAAAACGGCAAGAAGGAACGCAAGCACACATGGGTTTAGTCCGGATGGGGGGGCGGACCCCTAAAATCACACTCATACTGGTTTGCTCAGTTCATCTGAACCTAAGGGGGTTGACTGTGAACACACACACGCACACACACACACACACACCTTCATGTTTTCATTCTTCCGTAACCTGACCCACAGAACACTAATCAAGAGTCCCCCTTAACTCACTCAGTTCTACACATCTGATTCTCCAAGGAGGGACCATGAAAGGCGGGAAACCTTTGCACCGCAGCTCCACATACTTTTTAAATTAACTCACTTTCTGCTCTCTTTGTTGCCCCCCCCCCCCATTTCTACAGTCAACGTTCCATATTATGAACACATTATTGTGGTGTCGCATTGTCATATTTGAACTTTTAAACTATTCACTTCTGTCTTCATCCGTCAGATTTCTCAAATCATTCTGAGAAAGTGAAGAAAGTAGCAGTGAGTAATGTTCATACTTCACAAAGAAATATTCAAGAAAAACACTAAAGTCAGAAACACTCAACCCCGACAGGCTTCATTGTTTTGTTTCTGCTCCTTCTATTAATGGCCACAGACACACTGTACATACACGTGTGTGTACATGCACACCATCTGGAGACACCTACCTGGAGACATTATCAGGTGAACAAGCAGAGATGCTGGTTTCAATGGAGTCCGTGCTATCCACGCTCATTGTGTCAAAGGCCTGGTTGTTGCGGTACCCAAAGGCATCGAGGTAGACGTTGTTCTGGGATGCTGCTCGTGAGCCGGGCTGACCTGGAGACACACACACACACACACACACAACACACACAGAAAGAGAAATAACAAAAACAGCATTAGCATTGACTAACGTTATTTATTCTCCTTATGCACGTGTGCATTCTTGTGTTGTACCTGTCTCGGTCACTTCATCTGGCACCACCGTTTGCCTAGATGGCTTCAATTTTGGTTCACAATGCCCCTCCACTGTGAAACGCTCTTATGCGTTCAGGAGAAAAATAAATTCACACCTTATTGGTGTAACTAATAAAAGTCCAGTGAATAAAAACGTGTCCAAAAAAGTAAGACTCTCAAACAAACAAACGGTCTGCAAAATGAGTGCAGCACAGCAGAGTCCTAAAAGTAGTTTAGGCCATCCAAAGATGTCTGGAAAGGAATGAGATGTCCTCAGAAGTAGAAGGAGGAATGGCGACAATAATGATGGTGCAGATACTTTAAAGATAGACTAACTCAGCCTCTGGGTACAGGAAGAAACACACAAAAAAAACCCTGATACCATCTGCCCCATGCAGCAGACCCACCCATCTGATGAGCCAGATCAAGGGACCGAGGGGCCAGATACCCGCGTAGCAGTGTCCGGGAAAAACAACAGAAGAAATCTACTTCTAAGCAGCTTGTTTTGTCACAACCCTTTTACTAACTAACAGAATAATATCAAAGTGTTTTACTCAAACCGGTACCTCTGTTTTACTCCCTCACACACACACACACACACACACACACAATACTCTACACCACTTCATGGAGCAGCCCTCCTCCACTTACATTCCTGCACTATCTCCACTGACACGTAAACAAATGAGAAACTTTGTGGTCCAACTAAACACAACGACGTGCACGCGCACAAACAAAAAGGGTAGATAGTCTTTGTAAGTGAAGTTACATGTACTCCCATGTATCCGTGCACCAACAAGTACTCTCTTTTTCCGTACATATGGTTTCTAAGTAAGTGTGACAGCATACGTTTGTATACCTTTATGCAGACGGAGAGATTCAGTGTCCTTGTTGGATATAGAGAAAATACTTGGGAGAATGCTGCCACAACTTGTGCTCTGTACCAGGGGATGATGGGCCTAAAAGAAAGACAAAGAGCAAGAAGAGATCAAACCTTTAATGTTTTAGTCATTTAAAAATTTTTTGTATTAATTGATGTCATTTATGCGTACATGTGCATCTATATTCATGTGTACCTTGGTTGGGAAGCTGCGTCCCAGTGTTGCACACATATACTGGGGGGTCATGGTGGGGGCGGTTTTCTTCCTGGGTAATGTGTCACTTAGATGGGAACCGCCTTCTCTGTCAGACCTCTTCCTCTCTTCCAGCAAACGGAAATGCTGATAAAACACACCCACACACGCGCGCGCGCGCGCACACACACACACACACACACACACACACACACACACACACACGCACACACACACACACGCACACACACACACACGCACAGAGGGGAAGGGATGTACACAGTTAATTCACTATTGATTATGCGTCATATTCATTCAACCCAACGATATGAATGAGCAAAATGATCCCATTTCATTTTAGGTCAAATAACACGGTCCCACTGCTTCAATGAAAAGTAAGTCGCTGTGTGTGGGATATATTGTTAAATGTTGTACTTACACTTTTTTTGTTTTATTAAGAATATCAACAAAAAGACAATGTAGCAAACAACAATGCATACTCCAATTCTTTAATCCATATTTATTCATTTCAGCCATATAAATAAATTCTAATTATTCCATACGAGTATGAGATGGGATTAGAGGGAGGATCAACTTCCTTAATTGCACACTAAAACCAAATTTACCTGAACAATTGTCAATGATTTACTATAATCAGCAGCAATCAATCAAAGCAACTGTGTAAACTGTGCGTCTGGTTTTGTGTTTGTCACGTAAAAACAGACAAACAAAGTTGCTGATACACACACACACACACACACACAGACAGAAGGACACACTCGCATTACCTGCCTGTGTCGGTGGTGGTGTTTTTTGACAGGTAGGGGAGGTGGGGGAGAGTCAGGGAGGGGAGAGGGGTCTCTGTATGACACCATGTTCTCTGGCCAATGCACAGAGTATGTTTTGGGGAGGAGACGGGGATAGAAGTGGGAAGAGGAAGAAGAGGAGGAAGAAGAGAGACAGTCGGCAGGTGAGGATGAATGGCAGAGCTTTGAAAAGAAGAAAGGATTATTGTCAGAAAAACTGAAAGGGTGCAAAAGAAGGAAGGGAAATCGGGGGAAAAAACTTTCACACACTCACACACACTTTGCATAATCTACGTCTACTCGAGCCCTTAACACCACTACACACACCTCATCCTCCGGTGGTTTGGGGGTGTCGTCGTCAGGGGAGGAGTTTGCCTCGGACTCAGGAAAGGCATTGGCCAGAGTGGGGGCAAGGGCGGGTTTAGGGTCCGCCCCAAGCTGTGAGTAAAGCTTATTGATTTCACTGACTGTGACATAGCCCTGGAAAGTGTCATGTAGAGAAAGGGGGGGAGGGAAAGAAAGGGTGAGGCATAGCATGACGTGAGTCAGCCATATTAATGACATACGTTTTAGGAGTTTAGTAGTTGTTAGAATGATGCAGAATTTGGTTGCAATTTTAGCAATTTCAAAGCAAAAATGGAACAACAAGTCTTGTGACTGGGAAGTAAGTTACTTAGACACAGTACGGGTAACATTCATTCAGTGGTGTACATATGGCAATAGGCATTATAACAAGGTTACCTCGGTATTAATACATAAGTGAGTATAAGTTGTGCATAGAATTAATGAAAGAAGTCTCAATTTCCTGTAACCTACATTGCAGGGTCTTGCCGTTTCAACGATATACCTCAAGGAGAATAACAGAATAAAGGAACAGGAAGGAAGGACGAGATGGATTAAAAAAGAGAAAGGGTAATATTAGTGAAATAAGCCAAAAGTACCTCTGCATTCTTGAGAGAAATAGAGGAGAGGAGGGATGCGAGGGCGCACAAGTTGACTGGAGGAGGAGAAATTGCGGCAGAGGTGGTGTCACGGCAGCGATCACTAAAAGACTGACACACATCAGCCAGAGAGGCTGTTTCCTAGCAGAGAAGGAAACCCCACGATTATAAATGATGGAAGTCCTGCTCACTTGAAGAGCCTTAAGGAGTTCAAAGAGGAGGACTGTCGATCAAACCTACCTCCCTGAGAGTGAAACCTCGGCCACCAGTGAGGTCAGCGTATTTTCTTTCCAGCATGATGAGGTTTTCTTTCTCCTAAAAGACAAAACAAGGAAACAAAAACAATGCTGAAAACAAAATTGACCGCTTCTTGCTTGCTTTTGCTTTTCATTCACACACACAGAGGCCCGGATGGCCACATGCATACACATGCAAACATGGATATCTTCGTACCCTTTGCAGCATTGCTTCGAGTGTGCTCCTCTCCTTCAAGAAGCTCTCCTTCTCTCGCTGAGCCTGCTGGGTAATCTGTGTTGCCTGCTTCTTCAGAGTTAACAGTCGTTCCTGAAAGAAAAACAAAACCAGCTTGTTACGTGTTTTTTGCCAAAACTACGAAAAATACATAAGTTGGCATGCTTTTCAAACCGTCTTAAACAGAGATTCAGCTTGTTACCTTGCGAGTGACAGTGCTCCGCTGGTAGTCTGCGATGTCCCGGAGAAGCTGTTGCGTATGGGTCTCCTTCTCCTCGTCCTGCCTGCTCTCTCTCTCCAGTTGCTGAAACTCCAGGTCCTCAAAACGCTTCGACTCTGCATCGAGCACCTCACAGTCCTGACACACACACACACACACACACACACACACACACACACACACACACACGTAAACAGGCAAGCCAAGTGAAAACATGTGTACAGGACAGCCTTAACTAGACATACCGTTATAGCACACACACTTGATAAAACATGCAAGATGCAGGTTAACAAAAAAAAAAAGAAGCCAGTATACAAGAGCAAATGACTTGTACTCGCACGCACGCACGCACTCGAGTGGTGACTCTAAACTGGCCGTCGGTGTGAATGTGAGCGTGAATGCTTGTCCGTCTCCACGTGTCAGTCCTGTGATTGACAGGAAGCCTGTGAAGGGTGAACCTCTGCCTCTCTCACCCAAGCTGGGTTGGATAAATAATGGATGGATGGATAGATGGATGTAGGGCTGCACGATTATGGCCAAAAATGATAATTAAAATAGTTTAAGGTGTAGCCTTAGATCGCATGCCCAAACGTCAGCGTATTTCTATAATAGCCAAACAGGACTTAAAGCTCTTGAGATACTATATACACCAACAGGACGCAACCCTTCTGGTGGAATAAGGAGACATAGAAACCTAAAGAGTGAGACAGTGAGAAGAGAACAAGAACCAGGTAAAGATCAAAGGTGGCCGAGGGTTGGAGAGCAAGTTGGGTCAGGAAAGAAATTGTGTGCATATTCACATGCAAGTTCAAGTACGCGAGCATCACGTGTCTCTTTCCAGAATATGGTCTGCATATGCTGCATGTTTTGAGTGTCAATATGCGGTGTACGCATGCACAGCTGTTGTGTTTCCCACTGATGTTGAGTTCTATGCTTGTCCGGTATGATGTCTCTGCGTGGATCCATTGGTTTACACACTTAAGTACATATCTTCCTGTGCATGTGTTTGATGTGTGTGTGTGTGTTCGTACTGACCCTGGCCAGCTGCTCCTGCAGGGGCTCCTTGGTGGCCTCAGGGCAGCTGTCCAGCTGGGAGCGCTGCTCACAAACAATCTGAGCCAACCTCTCTACTCTGCCCCTCTCTGCCTGTAGCAACTCGCACGCCTGGCATACACACATGTACACGACACAGAGACGCACAGACACGCCCGCACGCACATACATGTGCACGTTTGTTGATGTGCACGACAAACAAAAGAAACAGAGACACACATCCACACGGGACAGAGAGAGGATGGCAGCGTTAGTGGGACTGGGGAGCCACAGTTAGTCACTACGGCGACCAGGTCAGCGAGATTAGCCTAGAGGGGAGGGAGGGGAGGGCAAGCCGGAGAAAAAACATCTCCCAAAGAGATGGAGGACTGGGGAGGTATCGAGTAGAAATGGAGGTAGTATGATGAATAGTGTCATGAGCTCTTTCTTTTTATCCTCTGTTTGTTTGAATGGAAAGGACTGATGGGATGGATGAGAAGGAATGGCTCAGTAGATCGACAGTCCTCTCTATAAATAACACCACATATACACGCGCCCAAAATCCGTACAAGCACTCAACTTCACGCTCGGCTATCTGATCGTTCCGCCTCTCCTTCCCTCTGTCTCACGACGAGGATTTGTATCATATACAGTATCTACCAGCTGTGCGGTGCAAGGAAATTTGCCAACCAGGGTGGGACCCAATCCGACAGAGGGGAACGTCCAAATGCTAAACCAAAGCATGTACTTGCAAACGCCCACATACCGACGACAAATTCAATCTGTTTATGCACTCTTCACCCTGTCAATGTTACCATATACTGGTAAAAGGGTAGACAGACACACACACACACACGGTCGTTCCGCAGGAGTGTGTGTAAGACAGGATCACTTGGTGACCGCTATACCCTGGGCAGTATTAGCAGATATATATTTGGACCGGAGACAGCATGAGAGAGATTAACGCCTACCGGTTAGTCGCGTGACCCCTAAATGTATGAGAGTCTCAGAGCAGTGTGTGTATTTTCATAACCAAACATCATAGGAAGGGAAATGTTGCTTGTTACAAGCCACGTTTGGTGTACAACACTTGTGTTTCTCCCCGATGCACAATAATAATATCACTTTACAGCCCTTCGGTAAAGAAATACAAACAACATGCAGAAGATGCATCATCAAACGCCTAGTCGGTTGATGAAAGCTCTGTGCTCTTGGTCTCTGTGTCAGCCACTGTGACTCTGGTCTTGTCTCTCATTGTTTTACAATGAAGCACAGCCTGTTAGATACCTTATCTTTTTCCTGCTGGGACTTGGTCTCCAGGTCAGCCATTTTGTTGTGAAGTGCTTCCAGAGCCTCTTTCTCCTGCTGGAGAGCAGCGACCTCCGACTCCTGCTCAGCCTCCACCAGCGCTCGCTCAAGCTCCACCTTGGATAAATGCACACCAGTAAGGAAGCCATTTGTAGTGACTTTGGGTTTATCCTTACCTTTATTAAAACCTGTATGTAACACGACCTAATAATGTGTGAACATGTTACTGATATGTTCCTCATTTCTCTTTAGAAATAGGATTTCTAAACTTATTATTAAACCATGATTTGTTAAGATGGTCATTTTTCTCCCCAAATCGCCCTTCGCTCCGTCTTCTCTTTACCTCTTGGGCAGATTCATCCATTTGGTTGTCCAGCTCTTTGATCTTTTGCTCCAGCTCCTCCATGTTGTTCAGCACCTGGATCCTCTCCTCTTCCACGCGCCTCACTTCCTCCTCTGAAGGCCTCACTTCCTGTCCGCGCCGACGAGCGGCTACATCTAGAGCCTGGTAAAACACCGTCATTAACAGATTGAACCATTTTTAAGATGTAGTTCAAACTTGGTTAGAGCCAATATTGGGGTTTCATGGTCATTGGGTGTAATAATGATCGCTGACACCAGCATTTAAATAATGAGGTGACATCAAGTGGAAATAGGGGCACCAACAGTATCTGTAACTGCAGAACAAAATAATATATATATATATATCTTATATTATTGCTAAACAATGTTTTCTGAACACTGGTTTGTGGTGAAGCAGTGCTTCCTCTGGACACCGAAAATGTCTGTTCTTGTGAAGCAAAAAAAAAATGTGGGAAGACACAATCACACATACAAACACCAGCTGTCCATTCTGAATTTGTAACACTTAGCCTGCTCGAACCTAATAAATGGTCTGTAAATATCTGCCATCTGTGTACATGAAGGATGTGTATGTTGATAGACTGCAACTGTAAATCCATATGCTCTGCTGCTTAACTACACAAAGGCACAGAATAACTATATAGAAATCTTATTCACCAACTTGTGCACTCTCACGTCTGTCTTGCTTTTTTAAAAATAATTTACACTGTGTAGCATTTAGGGGGAGCTATTGGCGGAAATGGAATATAATATTAAGAAGTATTTTCTCTTTAGTGTATAATCAACTTAGTACATGTGGAGCGGGACAAACCAAATTGGCTCTAGATAGGGCCATTTGCTTTTGCAGCTACTGATGTGATATTGTATGAGTGCGTATAAATGTGTAGAAACGAATCCCTTGTACCTCATTGGTCCTCTGTGCACGTGGAGAAGCTGAAGGGGCGAAGCTTCGCAGGCTGACGGCGGGGGACTCTGCCCTGTTGTCTCGGTGGCCGCTGCTGCGCCTCCGTCGTACCTGTAGGTCATCATCATAGTAACCGTTCTCTGATCCAAGGGAGGCCATGTGTCCGTTCCTCGTTGTTCCGTTAGTGGCTGAAGAGTCTGAAAACACCGATGGTGCGTCGTCATCGTCGTCGTCGTCGAGTTGAAGCTTCTCGAGCTCCTGGTTGATCTTCTGGAGATCCGACACAGCTGAAGTGGAACTTGTAGCGGCGCCTCCTCCATCTCTGGCAGACCGGCCCAGCTCCGAACACAGAGACAGGATGGTCTCTAGCCGCTGTCGCTCCTGAGATGAGCACGCGCGCACACGCACGCGCACACACACACACACACACACACACACACACACACACACACACACACACACACACACACACACACACGAGTGCATGAGTTACAGTATTTGCTGAAAATTCATGGTAGCTACCTTGAGTAACAAACCCAAAAGTCCCCACCACTTTTTAATCTACTGCATCTTAGACACAGAGTTTTGGGGTGCTACACAAACACAGTACAACCATGTTATTACAAAAACACATTGTATATAGAGCCCTATGGTGGTGCTGGATTACGAGGTGAGATATATCAAACAGCGCACATGTTATTTCAGATCCCACCTAAATTCAAGTTACATTTCCATTAGTCAGATGTTAACTCAATACCAGTAAACAACACATTTTGTTCTACTGATTCTGACATTTTATCTCTTCATATACATGCATGTGCGTTTTTGAAATTGGTTAAAAGAAAAAGCACAAATTGAACGTTCTGTTACGTTCCAAACTAGAGAGAAGTCACAACAGCTCAGCTGGTATTACTTCTTTCCATCATGAAATCAAGTTTCCAACGCCAAGTTACCTGGGGAAGCATCGCAGAAGGGAATCGCTTCAGTTAAAATGTCCTTGTTATGTCGAAAATACACTCCTGTTTTGTTTGTAATTTACATCCTCCACTGTCAAATTGTACAGTCTAGAAAGATCATTTCCTCTCGTTGGGAAATCTCTGGAGCGAGAGTTCCCTTTTCCACAGTGCTGTCTGCCCGAACACAGTTGTATATGGGGAGCTACAGAGAGTCAAAGTATACCCTGAGAGGCTCAGCAGTAGCTTCTCTGGAGGGAGAAATATAAACCCACACAGCAAGCCCGTGTAAGTAATATCAGAGGCGGAAAGAAGGAGGTTAGAAAAAAACCAACGTGAGACAGAGGTGTGTGAATGTGTGCGCGTGTGTGAGTGAGAGATATAGAGTGAGAGTAAGCTAATGAGAAGGTGGACAGCTGTCAACTATGATCGGAAGTGTGAACGAGAACAGGCCATGACTCCAAACACAGGAATGTGTGTGTGTGCGTGTGTGTTTGTGTGTGTACGGCCGTGGAGGAAACGGGACACTTTCCAGGGAAATGTGCTCTAGGAAGGAATCTGAACCAGGTGAAGTTTGGACTATCAGTCTGATTAGAAGAGAGACGTCATATTTAGGACAAACATATAGTGCTACACATACATTACATTGCTCATTTATCCCAATATGTTAGAAATTAAATATAAAAAGTCAATATAAATATGAATAATATGAATAAGTGATCACAGTACAAAGTGTTTACCAGCGGAATAATCTTTTGTATGCATGCGTGTGTGTGAGTGCATATAGTGTGTAATGTGAGCCGGGAGCTGAGGCAAAACAAGCCCATGTCAGTTTGTCAACATGTTCTATTCTAATGGACACAAGCCTCTGTGGAGCCTTTATAGTAATCAGCTTTCAACTAGAGAGACAGACAGAGAGAGAGAGACAGGGAGAGGGAGAGTTAGGACACACTGAAAGAAATGTATACAAAAAAGATGGAGAGAAAACCACAGACAGGAGTGTGAGGAAATAGAAAGAGAGGAAAACAAGTGGGGGAATGATAATTGGTGCTTTGGCCTGACACATAGTGGACAAAAAGAGGAATTCAAGTATGTCGGCCTCTCTGACTTGCGGTGCTTTTCTGGTGAAATAAAGTATTTTGAAATAGTTATGGCAAAAGGGAAAGAGAGAGTTATCTCACTCTAGCTCTTAATCTCTCCTTCTCCAGTCATTTATTCCTCATGACCACCTTCCAGTGCTCTCTTATTAGTTGCAACCATTACAGTTCTGCACTTTTTAATTCTGTCAATTCTAAACTATTTACACTGACGAGACAAAGCCGCTTTGCTTTAATACGGACTGATGGAATATAATAATCTAAACGTCTAAACTGTGCATTCTAACTGACACAATAGGCAATCGTGTTAGCTTTAAGCAATTGTTCTTGTGTTTCTCTTCCTTTCGTTGCTGTCAAAACCCCAAAACAGCCATTTATGCACACAACCTAATAACGTCTCAGTATGGAATGAACGCAGGTTTCCTGTTCTACCACTAGAGGGCAGACAAGATAAAGACAAAGCTTTCCTAAGCTCAGCCCTGAACTCAGATGCTGCTATTGGCTTTCTTTCACTGTCCAGCAGCATATCTGATCAGAACTGTTAAACGCAGTTCATTGTTTTATTATCAAATATTCAGAGCTATTATTCAAAAAAATGTATTCAAGTTACTGCAAGGAACTTTTAACTGGTTATGAAATTATTACTCTTGCCCATATGACCTCCATAAGTAAACTACTTTAAAATAACCATACTTTTGACAGTTAAATATAGAAAGTCATATCACTCTTTGATTAAAACTATTTGAATGCGTCATTAAACATGCCTAACAGGTGGCTGCTATCCATTACACTGGGGCACAAACTAAAAACAAATGCTTTTAAATCAAACCAAATCATATGAAGCGTTGCTGGGTTTCATGTTCTATCTCGCTAGTCGAGCAGGTTAAAGCCACTGAGAAGCTTGTGAAACACACTTTGGTTTGTACGGCATCCAGACAACTCTTTCTCACAGCTCAAGAGACACCCGATGACTGAGCTTAACCCGGTTACGTGAAAGAGAAAGACATTTAAAGAGGGAACGATGGGATTATGAGTCCAGCTGTCATTATATGTTGAGCATCTGTGTGTTTATCCACCTGCTACACTACAACTCTGCTCTCTAATCTTCCTGGTTGCTCTAACCAACATCTGACTGATGTGTTCTGTGGCTCTTCAGTGGTCCGAACCGCACTGGGTGCACCTCCAGATGACTGACATAAACACGCACCACGCATACACAAACTCACACACACACACACGAATAAGCATGGGGTTAAGAATAGTCCTGTTAGTATGGGCTAACTGCCAGAGGCATCTGTGGAGTGGTGAACCTCACTCTCTGTGTGTGTGTGTGTGTTAAGCTCCCTGGGAGAGTATGTTTGAGGGCACGAGGAGGAGTTTGGTGTGAAGGGATGCATTTTCCTTAACTCATTCCACTTGTTGTGTGTCTTTGTGTGATTGCATGTTGTATGCAAAACAACAGAAACCTTACACTGCTAATTTAAACCCGATACCCCAATCTTCTTTCAGTGTCCGCAACGGCAACAAGCTGTTCACCTGTCAAAGGTCTGTAAGTCTATAAGTCTGTAAGCTAATTTACACATTACACCAGATACAGTCTGTATCACAGGTTATAGCTGCATAGCGAGACAGTGCCATCTGATCTGACTGACAACATGCTGCAACAGTCGATGTCCTCAGTTCAAACACACTCAAACTCACCAGTCTTTCCACCTCCTGCTCACGGAGTCTCTCGTCTTTTTGGTGCTGATGGTAGTCGGTCAGTTCCTCCTTCCCGCTCAGTGAGCTGATGCTCCCCCTTCTTTCCCTGAAACCCCCTGGTGGGGTCACTCCTGCCTTTCCGAATGACTGCCTCCTCTCCCCCAGCCCCATCCCAGCTTCCAGGCCTGCCTTCCCAAATGAAGACCCCCTCTCTCCAAGTCCGAACCCCAGGGAACCAGTGAAGTCTAGGTCCACCCCTCGCCTCTCCCTCTCCCCCAAAGACAGGCCCACTCCTGCGGATGATCCACGGCTTGTCAGCCGTTCCAGTTCTGGAGGGCTGGAACTAGTGGAGCCTAAGGAGCCCACAGAGCTAGTGGAAGTCAGGCTGAGCTTTTTGGCCACACGAGGAGAAGAGGAGCCCCCTGTCCTGGATGGGATGGTCACATCGGGGGGAGTGGGTATGGAAGAGACGGTGGCAGTAGTGGAGGGCAGGTTCTTGGGGGAGGAGAGGGAGATAGACACTACACTTTCTCCCTGATTTGCGCTCTGAATGTGATGCCTGTTGGAGGAAAGCTGGCTTGATTTACTGGAGTTGTGGTTGATGTCAGGGCTGGCATTCTGACTGCTGTTGTAATGGTCTTTGCTAAATTTGTAACCGCCGGCGACATCGGATCGCCGCGGGGGCAGCGTTGACAAGGTCGGGGCTCCGTTGTTGTTGTCACGGGGAGATTGGGAGGGGCAGAGGCGTGGCAGCGAGCGACTGTGGTCTCCTAATATCATCCCATTCAGCGAGCCTGCCGAGTATTTCCGGGTTCTACTGCTGGGCGCTGGCTCTTTGCTGCCGTAGCTACGGCGGCCAAGACGGGGGCTCGAGGGCATGCTGGCTGCACCTCCTGTTGATGGAGCGCGGGATGAGGAGGAGGAGGGGGGCGGAAGAGAGAGGAGGAAGCTGTTGCTACCGTCAACAGAGGTGGAGGAGCCTCCGCCGTTCCATGTGGACAGTAAAGAAGAAGAGGAGCCCGGGTTGTGCAGCCGTCGGCCGTCGCTTATGCCGAGGTTGTCCTGGTGGCGACTGCCCGAGGTGCGGGAGGCCAGAGAAGAAGAAGAAGAAGAAGGGTCGGACCGTCGCCCGGGAGAAAAAGAGGGAGCCGATTTCAAAGACATTGGTGCACGATCCGAGCCGTAGAACCGCCTCGCCTGGTCCTGATAGGCTGATGAGGACGTGGCAGGACTCGTGGTAGGTGTGGTGGGGGGAGACTGAGAGATAGAATGTGAAAAATATATACATTATAACTGAAAATACTTAAAAATGCTACTTCATCATAATATCAAATGCACATAAAATATGATAAGTTGTAGATACATATAATGAGAAGATAATGGTGAGGCTTTAGTATATAAACAGACTTTTCTTAAAGCTGTGACAGAATGAATACATCTCTGTAGTTTAGCTCAGGATAATGTGTATGCCCTGCTTATCCATGTTTGGTCTTGTACATAATGAGTAAACACCGGTTAGCCCTTCTTAGCCCAAGACAAACATGCAAGCTAACCATATAAACTCTATAAGCCCAGTTGGAGTGTGACGTAGATGGCGGAATGATAAATCCTGAAGTGGAGCTAAATGATGTCTGACCTGTGTGACGCTGAAGTAGGAGGGGTTCGCATTCCCGTTGGCTCTCAGGCTGTTCTCCAGGGCGATCTTCTTGCGCTGCAGGGTGTCCATCAAGTCCCGGAGCTCAGACGCCGATCGCATCCCCCGAGCACTGTTGGTGCCGCCCACCACCGCATGGCTATAGTCACTGCTAAACTTCAAGTAGTCTGAGGGCGGGAAAGAGTTATAATGGAAAATAAATGAATAGTAAGGGGAAAGCGTAGATACACAAATACAGGTGAACATTGAGGAGTATGAGAAACGGTGATTTAAATAAATATAGAAATGGGGAAGCAGAGAGCAGCTGGAGGGAAATTGAGTTAAGAGAAAAACAAGAGAAAAGCGCTATGGCTGGGATAAGCAATATGGAGTCACAAGAGAGAGAGAGAGAGAGAGAGAGAGAGAGAGAGAGAGAGAGAGAGAGAGAGAGAGAGAGAG